TTTATTGTATTTGTTATTATTAGGAGAAGGTTCTTACGATAGAAAAAATCCTAAAATTCCTACGGAAACGGGAGAAAACGGGATTGCGCGGACGAAGTCGCGAGCAGAAGCTAGTAATAAAATTATGTGAAACATTTGAATTTTATTTCTTGTTTCTTTTGGATGTACTGAATGTAGTTTTTACAATATACAAATATACGCAACATACAAATATACTTGTTACTTTATCATTTGTCTTATTGTTACACATACTCTAGTGTCTTGTATTTTTTATGCTTTGTAAATTATAACTAAGATTTTTATATCTGAATATCTAAATATTTTTATATCTGTATAAAGGTTTCACCTATAACAGACACCAGTCTCAGGTTTAGTTGTAAAACGTTTGCTGTATTTTATTATGTAAATGATGATGAGAGAAATAAATGAATATTATTATTATAAATAAAAAAAAAATTGTTTTATTTACAAATCAAATCAAATAGCTTTTTTTGCTGAACAAAGGTGTAGTACATAGAGACTGGTGTGTTATTTATTTGCGTTACATATCTCTTTGTTCTAGCCAATGGGCATGCAAATATTGGGTATGTCTCAGTCGGGCAAATTGTATATAAATTAGAATCAAAATCAATCAATTGATTAGTCAAAAATTAATTACTTTCACTTATAAGCCATTAACTCATAAATCGAACAATTAATCAGTCATACAATTAAACATCAATACACGAAATAAATGTAGCCAATAACATGTAAATCAATCGCATTATTATAACACAAATAATTGTAACACAGGAAACATTTTTGTAGGCTTATATTTACTTAACCGTACATATGTTAGCAATATTAACATATACTTATGTATTTATCGTGGATTATGATTTATTATGAAGTCCCTACATAGCTTACATTTACAACGACTAATTTTAAAAGAGGCCGACGCCGACGGGACGCCACGGCGCGACCCGTGAAATTATAGAGTACTATAGACATGTGACTGTTGTTTTGGAGTGGATTAATGTAATTTATTGCTCAATATTATGATAGTCTGCAATTTAAAATGTAATAGTATTGTTATGATAATTTAAACTAAATACTTTTTATAGGAATTGGCTTCCGCAACATATAGTTTTTCTGTACACAATTTAATGATCAATTTTTCTTTATTAATTGTAAATAATCAATGATAATAAGCATTTATTAATAAGCCACAGCTACAAAATCGAAAATAAAATAAATAATTAAATAGACAAAACTAACCTTATAATTGCTAACTGATTTGGAGCAGTTGATCAAACTGAACCTTTGTCATTTTTTGATTTTGTTCTTTTTCAGTATTCACAGAGCGTCCCAATAGCAGTTTTAATTGCAACATTTTCGAAATTACGTGTGTTTTGTAAAATCTGTTCCTTCTCATCATGAATTGTAATTACCGATTAACTCAGTTCGGTAATTACATTAATTAATGAAACCGTAACCATTTTCAGTTCAAAATACCCATGAAATTAGTGAAATTTTATAAATCGTGTAGTGACAAATCAATAGTTGTTGACAATTACTAGTGTTACATTGAAGTAGAGTCACAGTCCCAGCAGTACATTGGTCGGTAGTACAAGCGCATCGAACAATTAGTAACAGCATCACATCCCAACAAGCTGACGGGATTGTTATTAAGATTGACACGTTATCGATGGCAAATGACTCGCAAATGAAATTTCGTTGATTCAAAGCTCATTTGTGAAGTGCATGGATGCCAGCATATCAGTGGCCGCGAGTAGCAAGGGAATGGAAACGGTTCGCATTCGACAGCGGTGGAATGCTTTCAACTCGCGTAATTCAGTTAAACGAGTAATTTATGACTGGCCAAATTACTGGCATCACTATGTCCGACTATCTGACACAGGAGTCCCACTATTAATGCGATTTTATGTAATATCATTGTATGCTTAAATGTTTCATGAAATGTAAATTTTAATTAAGATTATGTTACGTATAGGTGTAACTGAAATATTGAGACTTATCTTAATATTTATTTACTTTTATTACTATTATATAAAGGTTAAGAGTTAAATAGATATAAAGCTGTTGGATAGTGCACTTATCGAAGAAGGCTATAAAACATACAACACGGTACGACCAGTAGGAGCCGAGCAGAACGTGTGAAACCGCGCGAAAGTAGCTAATTACTCAATATTTAAGAGTAGCCGTTATGATTATAATAATAACACTAATCACATTAAATGACGTTATTTACTGATAATATTTGTATGTCTATTTCGAAGTTTATCTCAAACAATTCTCTTATTCAATAATAAAAAATAGGTAAAATTAGTCGAAGCTAGTATCTCGTAGCACTACCGTAGCACCACCGTAGCACACGTAGCATTACGCTACGCACGCAGCCTAATATTTCCAATACTCAGTGAAATAATGAATGGGGTGTACTTTGTAGTCTTAAACAGACTGATCAGTTATACAAGTAGGCTAATTATTTGTAAATCGCACAAAAAAGAATGCCTTTTAATAACCTCCAAGGGGTTAGCAGAAGCGGTAAATTCAAAAGTTACATTCCGTTATTTATGTTATAATGAGTAAACTCATGTGATAATGAATGAACTCATCAAATATATTTATAACGCTTTTTAAATACAGAGAATGACTCAAAAATAAAGTAGCAAAATAACTTTTTAGACCTAGTTTAGGCACTGTAAGCAGAAACCTAGTATAGATAGGAATCTGGTGAGTGATTTAGCCTGGTTTTTTCTTAACCACGTGCATAAAGCCGTAAGTACAGCTAGTACCAGAATCACATTCACACAAGTTTCTATTACATCTAAATCGTAATATATCCATGTTAAAACTCCAAGTGTTTACATTTAAAAAAATTGATATTTTTGCAGTCAAAGTAACAGATCGCGGTTTTTGTTCAGTCTCATGTAATGTGAATACCTGATATAATGTGAGTATGTGATACCGTAGTTGTGAATTTTTCTCAAAAAGCAATTATTCAACAGTTATTTGGTTTTCGATATAAAAACATGATTCCCGTTTAAATTTTTTCAGCTATTTTGTACAAAATTATTTAAAGCGTGTCTCGGAAACTATTAAAAGATTTGAATTATTATATTTTTGTACTAAAATAAGGACTTGTTTTTAATTTCCACGTTTGACAGCTACAAAACTAAACAGTAGGAGAGTTTATGGCCTTCGAATTGAACAAACACCTTTCCATTCAAGGTATATATGAATTAATACATATATTACATCGTTCATAATATTATACTTGTAGAATAGGTCAATACTAGATAAGTATTCCTCAAAGCAATATAAAAATATGGAATTCATAAAAGAATACTAAAAAACAAAGGAATAACATAAATTTTCTTTGAAAGACGTTATTTGATGACGAATTCGTATATAAGTGGATGTATATAATAGGTGTTGTTCAATTTGGTCGCCGCCCACCGTCAGTCTTACAGTACTGAATGATATAATTCAAGATTTCGGGCAAACCGACATACAGCCTCAAGATTTATGTAAATTAATACAGTTACTTGTACCTACCTATCTCCACATACGTAGAACACCACTATCACATAAACTAATATCGGAATTATTATTTCAAAGTAATAAAAATATACCGTGGATGTATGCTCTCAATCTTATTTTTATTCAAGCAAAGTACAATTTCGATTAAAGAAAAAGCTTTTGAATATTTTATACATTTTAATGTGCATTTGCATTTGCATCAAAACTTTAATTTAACTATTTTAATAGTTATCACTAGAAATGTTGTTTTTTCTAGTAGGTTAGTAAGTTCAAAAAAATAGTATAGATAAATATACAAACGAGAAATTACATTATTTCTATTATTTTTTTATTATATATTCTTGTATATTACAAATTTATTACTTTTTGATAATTATCGGCCTACTAAAGAATGTAGGTAATTATTGGCATAGGACCGACATTTGTTTTTGTCTTTCGACTTATTTATATGATAAAAGTAAGTATTTTATTCATATAGATCTCACCAACACGCTAAACCACCCATAGTTGAATAATTTAAACAACTTAAGAAAAAAAACTGCGTAATATTTCACTATTTCTCATCTTACTTAAAACTAATAAAGATGCAGGCACTACCCACCCTACAGGTATTTAAGTTAATGTATATCATTTAAATATTTAATTAAATGTGTTTTAGATAATCGTCATCTTTAAAAATAATTTTAAAAATTTATAAGCTTTAAAAATTAATTATAAAGGTACAGGTACGTTAAAGTGTCCTTTAATATTTGGATCATTCTTTTTTCTTTTATTCTGTATTATTATCATTCTTTAATTTCAATTCTCTCTCCTCTTTAATGGTTTGTTGCCTACATTAATTGTAAATATCGATTAAACATAGTTATTAATTTAAAATAAGTAGTGTTAACTTTGATTTTTTACCGTTTCAACTACATGTTTTCTAACTAAGTATCTATTTCATTCAGTGTAGTAAAGTTTTTTAACATGCCCCATAGAACATTTTCTTATTTTAACAGATAACTCGCAGTTTCAATATGTGTTCTGTATGTTATTTGTAAGATAAAAAATAACAAACATAAGCGTGCGTAATATTTTGATAACCTTTATTAGGTGAAACATTAATAACAGGATTGATATACACAACACTCGCTTACATACGTTTTAAACCCTCTCAATTAACCATTCGTGAGTATACAATTTGATTTCAGGAAAACAGACTTGTATGTTCTATCAAAAGTTTCTTCATAAGAGAAAATAATTTGAAAAAGTAACAAAAACTGCTATCGATGCGTTGTAAAACATAATAGCCTACATAACAAAGTTTTAGAGTTACTTCTAATACTATATACATATTATGCATGTACAGACGATATTTTTGTTTGATAGCCTGGTTTACAACTATGCCTAGTTGTAACGTTAACATTTTTTTTTCGTATTGTGGTGCCTAAAAAGAAGTAGAAGTTATCAGTTACCTGAATTAGTGAGTGTGTTATCACCAAGTCCAGTGGACGTATCAACATCAGGATGTGCTTCAGCAGCGACAGAAGTGAGCAGCGCGCATGCCCACGCGCATCCGGCCAACAACAGCCGTGCGCAATTAGTGTACTGTCGTCGCCTAGCCATATCACATCACCAATTAAATATCGTTTTAAATATCTTTACACAAAAAAAACTAAGCTTGAAAAGTTTACTAAAGTTATTAAAACTAAAGTAACTTTATTTTCGACATTCAAAAGTTACTTTTAACTATTGCATTCATTGAGGAAGTTCGAAAAACAACGGCAGATTCGTGAAAATATAGTAATGCACAGCCGAGTCGGCAGCGACGGCGGCGTGGGTTGCGTAGCGTGCGACGGCAGCGTGGCGACGTGGTCGCGGCAGAACTGTCCGCGGCTGCACATCGCGGTCGCGACCGGCTCCTTCGGAGTCGCAGCGTCTCACACCCGGCCACGAGGAGGGCCGCTGCGCGCGCAGCCACCTCGCCAACCAATGGCACCGCGGGGGTGGGACCGCGCGTAAGACGCACGGAAGTATATGCGAAGGCCTATGTACAGATGATAGCGGACAGGTGGTTTCGCGGCCGTAATTAGGCTTCTGATAACTTATTGCTACATAAATATGCTTAAACGCTGGACGATTAAGATAGCGCCCGAAACCATGTCGAAGTACCGACCCTACTCGCGGCTGTTTTACCTGCCAATTTACCTTTCTGCAATGTTATGTACTTTTAGGGTAAATTGTAATATTCCTGAATAAATTTTAAGATACTGCTGTAAGACTCAGCTTAACTTGTTAAATATGTCTGAAGTGTACTTTACCTTTTTTCGTGGTCGACTGCTCGGAATTTGAGCGTTATCTTCTAATTTTAAACTTCCAAGTGATCAAAAAGTTGCCAGTGTAAGTGATTCTATTAATTCCCAGGTTTGATTTTTGAGTCAAAGAAAAGTTATCGTTCCTCATACAAGACTACTTTCTCGATGTGTTACTAATTCAGTATCAACTGAAAGTTTCATTGTAGCTAAGTTTTCACTGAATCTGTTTCAAATGAGTAAGCCGAAATACACTAAGTCAAACAGTCAAAATTCATCATCATCATCAGCCTGTATTCCACTGTCGTCCACTGCTAAACATAGGCCTCTCCAATGGTACGCCACTGAGCTCGGTCTTCAGCTCTTCCCATCCAACCACTCGTCGATGTCGTCACTCCACCTAGCTGGAAGACGCCCTACGCGGTCGCGGTCGCCACTCTAGAACACGTTATCGGTTCTTCGACAAAGATGACACTTCAGCTTACTGATCCTTTGGACTATGTTACTTGTACTTTGGTACTTTGTACTTTGGTTCTCTGTCGGATCAATTCGTTTCGGATTCGATCCTTCAAAGAGACTTCGAGCATAGCCCTCTCCATAGTTGCGCGACCTGAAATTGGTCAAAATTAGCAAATATTATTCAGACATCCTTTTTTACACAAAAATTATCTGATAAGAAGGTAGATACCGATTTGAAAGAAATCAGAATAAATATCCGAATAATACTATGCAGTCGAACTTAGAAATAGCAAAATAAAAACTGTTTATCTACCTAATTCCAACTGCATGTAGTAACTTTAGGTAGATTTTTTGTTCTAATTTTCATATATACCCAATGATATCGCACAAGCTCCTTATATATACAATAAAAAAGTTTCATTTAAATCTGTCCACCAGTCGCGAGATAAGCGTATGCAAACAGATAAACAATAAACATATTTTTCAAATTATTTCTCTGTCACTGTTTCCTTATCACCCTATATACTTATTTGTTTCATTAAAAAATATTTAATGTACAGACACACTTTTTTAATTTTTTGTTACATGTATAGAAGATATAGATACGTATATAGATACCCACATAGTATTATCCATTAGGTACTTCTTGAACATACAAAGGTCAAAGTTACTTGATAAATATGATAAACTTGACCTTACATTATAAATAGATTATAATATTATCATTTCTTTCTATAAACACAGAAAAAAGGGAAAATTCTTCTCGAATGTACAACTTTTTCAAAGTCATAGCATTTATTACAATTAAACCGTAATTTGGTACTTTTGAAACTTTAACAAATACAAAATAATAATAGTCTGTCAGTCTGTCTGTCAGCGAAGCTAGGTGCTCGTTCCAAAATGTAGATTCGAACGGAGAAGAACGAGCTAGAAACTTCATTCGTTACTCTTTTAAAAAAAAAATATGTCCTACAATCTCTCTGATACATAATCCAATATTGTAACTAAAAATATTTTCTTAATTAAAAATATGAACTTTAATAAATAATGTTCATTGAATAAAGTACTCAATGAGTTATTGCCTTGTTTCATATAATTATCACATTAACTTAGTTTGTCACATTTAAGCATTTCACATAGAAAATACGTTTTAGTTATCCGACCGTTCAATTAATAGGAACTTAATAAGACATTGTGAACTATTTCACAAGTCTGTGCCTGAATAAAGACTATACTGATCATAAGAAAAACACAAGGGACAAAAATTTTAAATTTTTCTATAATAATCATCAGTTTCTTATAAGATTACAAGTCACTCCAGTGTGAGTCGTTAAATGTCGTGATTAATTTAATCTATTTATCAAATAATTTCATGCACAAGAATAAGTTTGGCTCAAATCATGGAATTCAAAGACACTATAAAATCAGTATGTTCTGTAAATTGTCTAATTTAAGAATTGAACTTGATCTAGTTTATATCAAACAAAATGACGTCAACAACAAAAAATAAAATAGAAAAAAGAAATTAATTTTGAAATACTTATATGGAAAACCCAACTGCGAAAAATTACTTTCAATAAATAAAATGTCTAGACATTTCTAGGTCTAGATATAAACTTAATTCCCATCTTATGCAATACCTGCGAGCAATTATCTAGTACTTTACACAGGTAAAGTAAAGAAAAGTGTAGGTGTAGACCTAATAAGAACAGAAATTTATAGACACTAAATTCGTACACCGCGAAGTAAGTCCCCCTTTTTTTCATGTTTTTCCTGACTACCTCCAAAGGCTTTTTTGTTTTTAGAGCTTCGTATTAAAATATTGTATGGTAAAAGTTATATGGAATTTCAACCCACTCTTAGATCGATCCAAAGAGCTTGGATTGAGATCCAACAAAACCTAACTAGCGTTTCACATTTGGCTGTTTTTTTATGAACAAGCTTTCTAACGAAATGAACATGGTCGTCGAAAGATTAGTAGCAAATAGTAATAATAGTAATGAATTTCATTGTATAGTTTCTACAATTCAAATATAATTATTATAGAAATTTAAATTTCCTCATTTTTGCACCATTAGGTAAAAACCATATACCATAGGTATGTGGGTAAAAACCCACATAATGTAATAATATTCAACTGCCTACCACATAATTTTATTATTGTTCCAAACGATTGCCAATTCAATTACAATATAAGTGGTAAACTTGTGGTAAAAGAAACAATGTAGAATAATATAAATGGGTAATTAGGTACCTACCCGTACCCACTATGAATAACAATTATGATGAGAACCTATATTATTTCCTTATATTAAGCGCATTAGGAACACGTTTCATTCTACTTAATTAATAGGTAATGTTAAGTAGAATGAAAAACCGTATCTGACCGAAAGTTGTAGTGACAACGTTTTTCAACTTAACGGTATTATATCAACGCGTTTGCTGTAAATCCAGTTAGTCTTCATAATTTATTCCAGACTATAATATGTTTCTGGATTTAGAAAGAAAGAAGAAAGAAGAGAAGACGTAAACATCTGCTCAGAAACATTTGCTCTCGCAATCTTTCGCATTATAGCGCGCATTATTAAGACTAATGTATCATTGCACACCCCATCTCTAGCTCGAGGCTCAGCACGAGTCCGCGCCCGCGCCGCAACTCTAGTGAGTAACGCGAAATCTATTAAACCGAGCGCACGCGCGATTGAGCCGCGCGCCGACTAATTCACATTTAAAATCAGTAACGCTAACGTTTGTCTTTGTTATATTCATGCAAGGAATGCATAAACAGGATAATCCTTATATTTATTATAATATTATAACACCTTCTTCTCTCCATGTTCACTCTGTTTATTACTACTTTTTCCAGAATTTGGATAATTTCTTGGCGTGATAAAATTCAATACCCGAGAGGCAGTAATGAGAAGCAAAATGGCTTTGAAGAATTTGTTGCCTTCTGTCCAGCTGTTTTCTTTAAGAAGGGCATCAATAAACTGCCAATGCTTTGGCACAGATGCAATCATTACAGGGGTGATTAGGTTCTTGGATTAATACAAATAAAAAATACATTAAAAAATCGTTTAATTTTTTCATTTCATTTCATAGGTAGTTTCATTTCAGTTCACGAAAAGCATACCTAACAAAAATTTCCAGTGAACTGTTCACTGCAATGCACTTTCTCGTCAAGTAGTACCCATCGTGTCACCTAGGCGACCATATAGGCGACACTACCTACGTGCATGCACGCTATAAAATAAATTTTTTAACAAAAAAAGTACGATGGCCACATGCTCCATAAAATTAGGCTATTATTATCAAAACATGTTAATTTTGAGAGAGAGAGAATATTAAAATTAATTAGGTACATTTATTTTAATAGTACGAAAAGTAAGGAAATAAATATGGGAGTCAATTAGAAGGATTTCCGGAAGTTTTGAAAATTGGAATTTTTTTAGATTTTGATATGCTCTTTTCGATTTCCATTTTGCACCGATCGCGTCACCTTGGAAAAATAGCGGCCAAAAACTGATTTTCGCAATATCTCTTTTCCTGTGCATTTTATGAGGAGTTAACTACAAAAGTAAACTACTTACAGTTTTCTACAATTTATTGTAACTTTCGTGAGACATACTAAATAAATTATTATGTTTTCGGGTCGCGAAATGCTGCTCATGAATATGAGCCCCTAGCATGGCTTGAAACTAGTCGAGTTCCTCGTCAAATTACTACGTGAGTAAGCCGAAAACATAATATTTTATTTCTACAATTTATGCCTGAACAGCTATAATACAAGTACTTTTGACGCCGCAGCATCGCAAAGTAAATTTTCAAAGTATTTCGAAAAAATAATTTTCATACTACGTGAAAGTAGACCAATCGGCACGATTTTTTTAAAGAGTAGTCGGACCCTTGGATACCGATCGAAAAGTCGTCGATCAAAATTTCACTCTGATTAAGCACTTGTGATGCACTTCTGCAGATTTATTACAAGCATTTTCGTTTAAAAATAACGACTATGACATACAGATGAGGGTTCAAAACGAAATTTTCTTTGTGCGGTTCGTCAAAAACAGCTAACGGCCGTAGATTATGGCAAGTTCCTAAAGTGTGTACCACACAATCACATGAGCAATAAACATTTAGACGATTTCACTATCGTGCCACTTGCTCTACTTTCAAGTGGTGTGGAAATTATTTATTTTCCCAAAATACTCATAAAAATGTTCTTTGCAGTGTCCTGGTGCTAAAACTAATTATCGTCGGTGCGCCTGCCAAAACTGATATGTGCAAATATTTAGTTTTTTTTTCTTAGCTATATGTCCTACAAATCGGATAGCGCATCGATTACAAAAACAAATATGTGTTATTTCCGTCTAGAAACCGATTAGACCAATCTTATATGTGCACTTTCTGGCCATGACAAATTGGTTATGTGTTCGATTGGTTACGGTTATTTGACATAAAACGCACATGTCAGAAGTTGCAGCATCACATAGATAGTTTGGCAGATTGAACAGTTTTTGTTTAAAATTTTTACCGTTTTCTAAGATAAACCTGATATGTGCACCAAAATGGAAAATAAAATTATTGGGGATGAACATGTATATGTTATCATTTTCACTTTTATCTCAGTTATTTTTATCATAAAGTTTGCCATCATACTGCATTTTTAATTTCTTGCTAAGTCCATCAACCTTTCAGTGTAAGTGTAAAAAATACTTTATTGTCTCCTCCTGAAAACTTGACTAAATGCACATAACAGGTTTGGCAAGCGCACCGACGTTATATTAGCAAAACACTATCTTGACACAAATTGTAAAAAATTGTGAGTAGTTTAATTTTGTTAAAATATTGTTATTGTTTGTTAAAAGAGATATTGTAAAAAATCTGATTTAGTCCGCCATTTTTCTAAGACGACGTCACGAGCGACGCACGTACGAGGGTGCAAAACTGAAATCAAGAAGAGCACATCAAAATCTATAAAATTTCCAATTTTCAAAACTCCCGAAAAACATTCACGGTAGAACCACCAAATAACTGAAGTACAATAAAATCTACTGTTGTTGTAAATAAAATAAAATGTATTGATAAAGCAAAATCTGTTTAGCGTGGCGCCGTACACTCGGGTCTGTTGTCAGACCCGTACCGCGCACGCCTCGAAGAGCCATGAGACTAAATGGGGACAAATGGGGCCCAATAGGGCTGATGCCTATACGGAGCCGCGGAGGACTTAAGAGCAGAACGGGGTGATTTTTAGGCAGTGAGAGTCTGATACTCCCTAAAGAAGAAGAACTCTTAGAAGTCATTGGATGATTTCCCCTCCTCAAAGAAAAAGTGCTTAACGTAACGTATAACGGTATTAGGTATACCCAACGCAACATAATATGTACAATTAACGTCGGCACTTATCGGGTACTCTCTCTCATCATAGATACACAGCTAAAGTTGCGGGAAATACGTTGCGGGGAAATACGTTGCTATTGCTACACACGTAGCTCGTAGAGAGAAAGTCGTAGCACGTAGTAGCATTTTCCCTCTAAACCTCGTAGGCGTAGAAACAAACGAACCGGTCCTACGGAAAGAGTTTACAAAACTTAGTTGAAATAGATCGTATCTTGACTATTTTAATTATAAAAAGTTATTGAATAACAGAACAGTAAAATATTGATAATATCGGAATACCTATGTAAATGCGAAATTAAATATCCATAATCATGTCAAAGTAAAGAAAAATCAAAGTAGTATCTAAAATTTCAACAATCTCACTCTCTTCAAAATCAATTTAGTATATACATAACTTATATTTTATTAATGAGTTTATTTTAATACTTTCGCTTCCCAAAGTCAGTGCCACTGTTAGGGCCCTCGCCCACGGCGGTACAGTCGCGAAGTGCATACAAAAGTAGTACACGTTAGTAGCGATCCTGCATCGCTACAAAATGACCCGTTGTTAGTAGTTGGGGCAGGGCCCTTAGATGCTAATATAACATGAGGGCTGTTTTTGTTTATCTAACAGAATTAGTGTCCGATCATGGGACATTCCATTTTCCATTCCAATCTTTCAGGACAACGATGAGTTAAAAAGAAAGTGTGTCGTTGAAAAAATCAGTATCTCGATTGTATTTCGTATTTTTAAAACTTACAGCCATAGAGTACTCAAAAGCCAATAAGTCAATGTATTTAATATTTTTTTTAAACTGCTTTGACGCTGTCATGATGTCACACACACGAGTGTCACGTCAATTTGTTTCAAATGTCAAATCTTGATAACGTCATGACATGTGAATTCCATAGATATATTATTATAATTTTTAGCATGAGTTTGCCATGAATCTGTTCACCTTGAGCCTATTTCCTTTGCAAAACAAAGAAAAGTAGTAGATAACACTGCTCTACGAAAAATCTTCGGTAATATGTGACGTTTCTGAAACTTGAACGCGCGTCAACACTTCAGCAGTCACTTCATAAGATAAACATTCGGGATGTGTTCTAATGTTTTTTGATAGTATTTACACGTAGTATATTATAATTTAACCAAAATGGATCAAAATAATCGCCAAAGGAGAAATGATTTAGATATAGATAGTTTCCGAAGCGATGAGCCCGGCTTTGATAGAGCTCGAATGCGAAGACAATCTGGTGGCTTCGTGGATTTAGGCAATGAATCACAATATGGTTCAGGCGGACATCAAGCTTCAGGAGCTAACGAAATATTTGCAGACATACAGGTCGGTAAACTATATATCTATTAACCACTTAGTCTTAGACAATTAGCATACTCTCACAATAATAGGTAAGTAATATTAGTTACATTAAAACTACAGCTGATGTTTTCCGTTTACTAATAACTAGACAAAAATTGTTTCCAAACCGATTAATTGCATGTAGTTCATTACATTTAATTCATTGAAATATAAAAAACTAAACATATTGTAAACTAACTAAAATAGTCCTCTTTTTGGTTTGAAATTAAATGTAGCGTAAGGATGGTAGTTACTTGCTTGTTGAAAATTTAAGACATTACTCTTTCATTTAAATGAATACTAGTCACACATGTCCATTAGTGTCTGACATGTACCAAAATAATATTGTACGTACATACTACACATATATTTCTAGTGTTAGCTAAATAAACTTACATGTCCGCTTATTTATCTAATCATCACCTAATATCTTAAGATTAAAATCAATACTGATAAATTGTCATTGTCTATGCAACTGAAAATTGAAAAATTAATTGCAGGGTGATGTACCATGGTGGAAATCAAACTTCTTTATATCACAACCAGTTCTCTTTGGGACTTGGGATGGAGTGTTTACATCTTGCCTTATAAATATTTTTGGAGTAATTGTATTTCTAAGATCTGGTTGGATTGTTGGACAGGCAGGATTAGTAAATGCAATTTTTATAGTTCTTTTTACAGGTAAGAAACTCATACCTTCTTTTGAATATAGGTATTTCTGTAACTACCTAAGCTGGTATTTAATTATTTTTATCAGTCAAGACATTCATAAAAGAATATCAGCACATTCATTATCTAAATCTATATATGGCCTAATACAATGATTTATAACTATGGAATTTAATTAATTTTGCACTTATATTTTATCTAAGTACCTGATTATCAATTTTATTTATTATTGATTTTTTTTATATATATTTAATGGGCCGATGTTTGGCCACTATCTCGCCTGGTGGTAAGCAATGAGGCGGCCTATGATGGAGCATGTCTGCCCATAAGTATAGGTTATACCCTTCAGGAAACACAGACTCTGGCGAATAATTACACACCTTATTGATTGTAGATATTTAATGTTATATGTTATTTTCCAGTTTTTGTAGCTCTGATCTCAGTGTTATCAGCAGTGGGTATATGTGAAAGATGCAGAATAGAGAGTGGTGGAGTGTATTTCTTGCTTGCACACACATTAGGGTCCAGGATGGGAGGTGCTCTCGGCATGATATACTGTTTTGGTCAGGTAATTCTATTCAGTAGTTTATCATACATTTATAAAGCATTGTTATATTATTTTCACCGAATATCCCCTTACAAATACAGTATACCTATTACGTTGATATTTCCACATATTAAGAGAGAAGTGCCCCAGGTTTATAAATTCACATGCAATCAATTAATTAGAAGTCATTTTTTTTTCTACAGCATTTTAAAGCATTGTAAATGATATATTCCAGGCCGTGGGCTGTGCCTTAAATGTATTTGGTTTTGGCGAATCAATGGCTGGCTTTGTAGTTGCTGATCCACTTAGTGATACCCACAAGTGGGCATCCCGAGGATTTGCTATAGCCGCAGTATTGTTGCTGGGCACTATAAATATAGCCGGAGTGAAGTGGGTGGTGAAACTACAATTTGCACTGCTCATGATTATTATGCTCGCAGCTCTTGACTTCTTTGTGGGGTCATTCACAACAGTACCAACTGATACAGCACGTAAGTCTGTTGTATTATGAATTTTGAAATCATACAATGCATAAAACTACATACCAGTTTGCTATAAGGAAATAGATTGTATATTATAACTTTTATTATTAGATAAAGTTTTCTTCAGTTAACTTTATTTTAACTCTTTGAGTATTGTCATTATAGACACAATTAAAGAACAATAGGTTGCGGTCACCGGTGATCGCGCGGTGTTTGACAGTTTAATATTACTAATTGTTTTATTTCAATTTATTTATTAATATTTCAGTTCAATCAGAATTTAAAGGGTGGCTCAGTGGAGTTGCAGCAAATAATACATGGCCCGCTTACCAAGATGGCTACACCTGGTTCAAATGCTTTGGAGTATTCTTCCCAACCATCACTGGTATATTAGCAGGAATTAACATGAGTGGAGATTTGAAAAATCCCTCTGTGAATATACCCAATGGATCATTGGCTGCGATCAGTACTGGGTAAGTTTTATTTTTGATAGGGCAACATTAAATATGACATAACATAACATAACATAACATAACTTCACGCCTTTTATCCTCAAAGGGGTAGGCAGAGGTGTACATTATACCACTGTACAATGTAACACCCACTTTTCACTATTTATGTTATGAGTCCCATGTAATAGGGGGTGAGCCTATTGCCATATACCGGGCACAGTTCCAGACTCCGTGCTACTACTGAGAATTTTTAAAAACCCAGTAATATTTTGCCCGACCCGGGAATCGAACCCGAGACCCCTTGCTCGGCAGTCGCAATTGCGACCACTCGGCCAACGAGGCAGAACAACATTAAATATGTTGTTTACATAAATTTCTTTAATCAAGTTGTTTGAAAAACAGCCACACCTTTAGAGTCTTTATTATCAGAATGAAACTTTGATTTACTGTTAAGTATTTATAAATAGATAGTGTTGTTAATACTCTGACCACTCTTATTCAACCATTCTATTCTTAAACTGTGTTACAGAACATTTTTATACCTGATGTTTATAATAACACTGGCGGCTACTGTGACGAGGGAAGGCTTACTGCACAACCTGTCAATCACAGCTGATATCTCAGCAGTGACCGTTCTATTACTTGGTGGACTATATGTCAGTTCCATGAGCTCTTGTCTAGGCGCCATGTATGGAACTCCTCGAGTCCTACAAAGTATTGCAAATGAGAAAGTTATACCTGGACTTGCATTTCTTGGTCATGGGGTTAGTATTTTGTTGTTAATTCTATGTATTTTATTTGATGTGTATTCATTTAGATATTTTGGCATTTAGATTAACATTTTGCATGAGTTAATCCCAGTAGTGAAAAAGTGTAGTGTGTATGGATATTTTACTTTTAATCCTAATAAAATGGTTACTGGGATAATGTTTTACCTACGTAGTTAGCATTTGAAATTGACATGTTTTTTTTATTATACTTATTGCCCCTTATATTATCTTCAATATTTTATCGAATATTCAAATTATTTACAGAGAGGTCCCAACAAGGTACCGATATACTCAATGGTGGTAGTAGCAGTGGTCACCGTCACATTCATCATCATTGGTGACATCAATCAACTCGCACCCATTGTCACTATGCCGTTCCTCATCACTTATGCTTGCATTGACTATTCTTACTTTGCTCTCGCCCAAACTTTTGATTTGCAACATAGACGAGAAATGAGGTATGATTCCTTATTTTTATTTATTATTACTTATTGTTTTAATATATTTGCCATAGCAAAATAATCGAGTACTTAAACGTCCGGGTATTGTGTTAATGCGCAAAATACAAAAGTATAAGGAAAGTAAGCAATTTGATTAAAAACTAATAATGACCGCCAAAGAACACACAAAAATATTTAATCACAAGAACCTTCACACTCAAATTACTTTTTAATTGCTCGAGAATTAAAAAAGAAATTAACGTTCGTAATGCAACCATTTGATTGTAAACTGTATTGATTTCAGATACCAAGGTCATTCACAACGTGATACGCAAGTTTACGGCGCTACTGGCAGTGACCTAGACTTGCTGTTCCCAGAGAGAATTAGACATAAAAATGTTGGGGTACGTGATACACTTGTTACGGCCCGCTCCATATTGGTGCTGAATAAAGAAACACCAACTGATCAAACTTTAAAAAAACGTTCATTATACTTACCGAATAAGTAGTTGACATGGAATGGTAATCGAACACTATACACAATATACTTAATATTGTACTGTACGCTTAATATATCGCCAAAATATCAAATGATTTGTATTCTTCTTGGGCGATCTTATCAGTTATCACACACGGCATAAGGCAAACTTTTACAGACAAACTTTGGATGGAGGTGAGATAGGAGTCTGATATGAGTCTTGCAGTGTACAATAATAGTTATGAACTACCTACTTGAAAAATGAACATATCGTCCCTTAGCTTACAACACCGCTTAAGTCATTTTTACCAACTTTACAGGAGACGAAAAAAACTGTCTAATTTAAATAATCTGTGTTTTTTTTCTATTGCTACTTAGTACATACTCTAATTAGCGGTTAAGAAATAATTATTTATACTTATTTTAACGATTTACTTTATTTTAACTTTTATTTTATGACTTGAGCAGTGTTGACTGATATTTTATTAGATTTAGGCGGTGTTGTTTGTGAAAATGTTAGGGATTAAGGTATTAAAAGATGATTTGCAAATAAAAACTTTAATTAAAAAATATTTCAAGAAAATTAACACTCTTTATCTTATCTTTAAAAGGTATCTTATCTTAAATCTTAGGAATCACATTGTTGAGATCAATTGCTTAAAGTTATTTAGTAATACAGAAACCTCTAGTTGGAACGTAAATGAAATAATATTTTTTTTATATTAATAGGTAAATATTTTAAATATTAATCTGAGTTTAATAAACTCCAAAGAAATAACATAATTATAATACAAATAATAAAAAATACTCAAAATTATTTAGTCTTTAGTTTAGTTGCAGTCTTTAGTGATTGCTGTGTGGAAGGTCATCATAAAAAGAATGGCAATTAGATGGCAATACACTTTTTAGGTCTTGCAAATCCTGATACTTCCGCTTTGTAATTGATATTCTAGCTGCGTACAATTTCTGCAAGCTATTTATTTGTTTAATGCTGTTAATTGGCGTGGGGCGATGTGGTAACGGGTGAAGATCGTCATCAAAACTAACTTTATACCAAATTGTGCCATTTGGTCTGTATTCTAGCATACGTAAATCTGTGACGACAGGGTCACCTGCTTTTTTACCAGGTCTTATAGATTTATAAATTAATTCTTTCGAAAAGTCTGTAAAAAAACTATAGTCTAAATAACGAGCTTCGTAGGGCATAGGATCACTCCTAGCAGTTTTACTTATAGCCATGTATTGATGTGGAAGGTAAATTTCTTTACCTTTTAATTTACACTCTATGGCACTATGTACCGAATCACATTCCATGTGAGTATGGCCTTTTTCCAGGTACTTTTGAGTAATCAAAATATTTTTTTCAATCGCTAAACGTAATAAAGCATTGCTTAAGGTAACATTGCGATTTTGAGCACAACAACCATCGGAATATAAAACCACAGGCAATAATTTTATACTCAAAACCTTCTCTAGATGGTCTACTAAGCATGAAGCAAAAACAGAGGCTTCAAGCGTACTATTTGACTCATCAAACCAATAACACATTACTTCCTTAGTTGCTATATTGTATAATGTAAAATTATGGACGCATAATTTAGTTTTATAATAAATTGCACTAGCTTGAAGATACGGGGCTAATTTAACCGATTCCACATCCTGTGTGAACACGTGACAGGCTCCGGACTGTGCAATTCCTTTGTCAGTATCCTTCTCTTTCCTGGCTCGATCTTTCTTCAGAACATGTTGAGAGTATTCTTCATCAGTAATGTTTCCAGTTTTATGACTGCAACAAACGTCGCATTGATCTTTCTTTGGGTGGAATAGGCTAAGATTGAGTTTCAAAAATAATTTGTCAAATAATTTACGGCCAAGGCATTCTCTACCCTCTAATTCACAATTATCTTTATATGCGTGATAGAGCTGTGTCATGTTCGAGAAAATTGGTTCTAAATATTCTCGTGATGTTTTAGCACGACAGTAATGCGACGGCATCTTTGGAAGATCTGCTAAAAACTTTTCAACATGTTTGTGGTCTTCAATTTTCCCTGGATTTCTACGATTACTGGTTGAAGTAGACACATCGGGAGGCATAGCACAATCGGTTTTTGTCAACCAATATCTTATAAACCAATCTTTAATTCCAAGAGTGGCCAAGAACATTTTTTTGCAGACTTGGTGACGAACATTATCAATCGTCAAAACGTAAGTTCGACTATCAGTTCTCTTGGATGATTCTGGATTTTTTGTAACTTTCTTCGGTACTTTATTAACGTGAGAAGTTATAAATGATCTTCGCTGCTCCCAGTTCATGTTCTTCCAGAAATTTTCAAATAAATATTTACGCTGTTGCTCGTTTATGTTGTCACATGACCTGAGTTTGGATTTCTTGCAAAACGCAGAAGTGCATGGTGGTTTTATGGATCTTGCAGGCTTAAATACGTCTTATTTCACTTTAAATGTTTCATTAATCTTTGCTTTTCTGTCTCTTCTGTAACCTAAATAATTTTCACCCTTCATCCGTAATTCTTTATTTATATTGCGTTTATATTTATTTGGATCTTTTGTCGCCTTGTTCTGTCGTTTTTTATGGCTTAACAAATCACCGTGATAAGCAACATTACTGAGTATGACCACTTTTGAAGAACATGATGGAGTAGCAGAGTCGCTGGATTGCTGTATATTGTTTTGGATTGTTTTATTTTCATCTGTGTTAATTACTCTATCCGAAACTGGGTCTTGAGTATTCGTAGTTAAAGCTTCAATGTCAATATTTCCTAGTTCTTGTATAACGTTCTCACATTCTACCGAGATATTGGCTACATTCAATGCAGAAGGCTGAGGATACTCGATGGTCACTGTAGCAAATTCGGGTGGTATATATTGCAGATTAAAGAAGTCATTACCAACTTTTTCTACAACTTGTAGATTGTGAATGTCAATGTTTTCAATATTATCCAAGTCTATGTTCTGGTCAAATATTGTGTTTACATTATCCTGGCTACTTGTAATACTTTTTATAGACTCCCCGAAGCTTTGATCATTTATTGGTGTTGCAATAGTTTCATATTTATTAGTAGAATTGCATGCTTTAGTGTCAGAAGAATTAATGTTATTTTTTTTATTCAAATCTGAAATAAATAATAGGAATTATTGCATTAAAAACATAAATAACAAAAAATAAACGCGGACCTCATAACAAACCCATAATACTAACCTAGTTTAATTTTTTTTTTATCTTCTTTGCTACTTTGTTTACTCCGTTTAATATGCCTTGACATCAGTCCTGATTCTTGTAATTGGCCAAATAACCATTCATCACCTGAACTAAGATCACTCCAGGAATCTATTTCTTCTCCATCCATAGCGTATTACAATTATTGAGTATCCTAAAAGAAATAAAATACATTTTGAAACACCGCCTAAGTTAAGAAAAAATATTTAGTAAACACCGCCTAAGTACGTAAAGATATTATTTTATCATTTATTTCTAAATTAATACGCGTAAATTAATAAACATTACTTTATTCTATAGCTTACCTCTTAATCTTCTATTTAAACTTCTTGCATAGACGTTTCAGCTATAAAATTCACATATAAATTGAATAATCACGGAGCGCGAAATATTTTCGCGAGAAAAGTATGACAGACTAACGACTTGTGCGGTGTTGCGACGCCAACTGACTTGAGCGCTGTCACTATTTTTTGAATAACGGCTTTTGATTGGCTGAAATCCGTTTCATGAGACCAATGGTTCGACGCGCAATGCGCAGCTTCATCCAATGGCATTAAGGTTAAACTAGTCGCGGGCTCGAACTCAATCAAGGGCGTGGCCAAAAAGCGCGCTGTCTCATCTAACATCGTGTGCGACAGAAATAGTACCAGTGATGAGCAGTTAGACGCTATCTATTTGCACGACGTATTGTTCGCACGCACACAAACACAGCAAAACGTCACTGAACGGTGCATATATCTGTGCTGTGTGTGTTTACTCGTAGTAAAGTCGTACGCGCTGCTACGATTTTGTGATGCTCGCATGAATTTTAGTAATTATTGTCACAGGGCATTGTACTTACTGAAATTTTTTTATGAAAAGTTGATAACACAATATCCGATGAATCTACGAAAGGCTAGGGATATAATTCTGTAGGTAAGCAGTTACTTTTTTTTTTCTAAGTACCAATAACTTTATGTACCTACTAAACCTAATAGGTACCTACAATATTTGTTGTATTTGTTTAGTTTTCGTAAAAGTAGGTAATTACCTAAAAGTATGTTTACTTGCTAAAAATAAAGTAAGAAACGTAATAAAAAGTATAGTTGACAACCCCAATCGAGTTCTCACGGAGCGCGATAGCCACAAAATATAAAGGTACCTAGTTAGTTCTATGGTATAACTACATACAAAGCGCGCTCGAGCACGTAGGTATAAACAGTGAAGCAGGTACATACCTACATGAGATTGACTTCTGTACCTATGTATTTTGTGCGAAAACATTCGGCTTGGCGGTTGCCCGTTGATATTATCAATATTCCTACTTGCGGTAATCTACAACAATTTATTATAAAGAGCCTAAAGAGGTAAAGTTTGATTTATAATAAGCATGATCATTTCTTCTGTCTGGGTGTTTTTATCTAATTATAATAATATGGAAATATTTAGAAATATACCTCTAAGTACCTATGTATATCTGTTGTCTAGTAGGTACCTACACATAACACAAGCTCTGCTTAGTTTGGGACTGGACAGCGTAGGTACAGAGTTGTGTGATATTGTGGAATATTATTATTATATTATTATTACCTGCTAGTAAAATATCAATTCGGTCCAGCCGAATTGAACATTGACCTGAACAAATAGAAAGACAGACAGACGGAAAAATAAATAGGAAAAATACAAAAATAAATAAATTAAAAATGGGTTTAAAAACTATTTATTTGTTTTTTCTGTCTATCTGTTTGTTTGTTTGTTTTTTTGTTACTTATAATCTACATAGGTGCAAAGTTCTAATCAATACAAATTATACAAGCCTAAACACAAGGTAGTTACAGTATACCGTTGAGGAGTTCCCTTAACAATTACACTTCTTCATCATCAGACCCTTAATGACAGCCCTACTCTATCTAGGTGTAAAGTCCTCATCAATACAAATTAATCAAGCCCAAACACAAGGTAGTTACTGTATACCGTTGAAGAGTTCCCTTAGCAATTACACTTCTTCATCATCAGACCTTTAATGACAGCCCCACTCTATCTAGGTGTAAAGTCCTCATCAATACAAATTAATCAAGCCCAAACACAAGGTAGTTAGTATAAACCGCTGAGAAGTTCCCTCGACTGTCTATCGGCTCCATCATCAGGTCGACTCCATACCCTTATCAAATTGTAGTGTTTAAAAATCCTAATTGAAAAACATAGTAGACGCATCACTCGCCCATATAATTTTCGAAAGTTCCCCTCGGTTTCCCTAGGATCCCATCATCAGATCCTGACCTCATGGAAATGGGACCATCTTGGGAGTATACCCTTTCCAACAAAACAAAAATTTTGCAAATCGCTTCACGCATCTCAGAGTTATGCGCGTACATACATACAAAAAAAAAAAGCAACATACCGGCCGAACGTATAACCTCTTCCTTTTATGAAGTCGGTTAAAAACAATAGAAAATAGTCTAATGGTTTGCACGACACGCGCTGTCGTGCAAAAAATTGTGCAAAAACGCGTGAGCGTCTTCCCTCCGCCCCGCGCCGCTGCCGGGGGAATTTTATCAAATGAAATGCACGATAATTCATCGTAAAACGAGTGCGTATAAAAGTACGATTTAGTGCTTTAGAAAATAGCGATTTTTGAAAAAACCACTGCTTAGATCAATTTGAAATAAATTTTATAGAACTCTCTGGTAATTGTGCTGTGTCGGTACGGTCTACGTTTTGGAGATTTTACACGATTAGTGGTACTTTTTAACACCCAAAGTTGCGTCAAAATTGTCATGAAAAACAAAACTTTGGTGGCTCATAACTTTTTAATCGTTATTTTTTATTTTTTTTTGTTTCCGTACCGACAAATGTAATTACAAGATAAAACGTTGTCGTGTTTACTTTTGGAAGTACAAATTCACACTGTGGAGTAATACCACCCCAAACTTTCTATGGAAAAAATATCGACTAGTGTAACCTTAAAATTTAAAAACCGCCAATTTTCGACTTGAGCGGTGTTGTTAGCTAAGGGACGATATATGATGTTGAGCTGAAGCTTAATACAGAAATCTGTTTTCCAGGACTTTACTCCATCTCCAACGGACTCTGCGATAATGAATGGCCGCATGTCTAACGGAGATGTACGACGACCTAGTGTTAGTGTACATTCTAAGAACAAGAACTGGTACTCGCACCTTTGTAACAGATGGTTGTCCCTTGTTGGGGTGAGTACCTGCTCAAATAATGCTATGGTAATGACTAGAACGTAGATTATATTATGCATAAACTCGAAACATATTGTGGGCTACTATTACTAGGAACTAGGAGTGCAATAATATAAGAAGCTAGGCGAAAATCGAAGGTCATTTTGTCCTCAATGACTCACTAAACTGACTTTTGACTATGATTTAATTAGTTGTTTAATTTCAGGTGGCAATAAAGCTATTGTTGATGTTTCTCGTCCACTGGGGGTATGCTCTCGGCTGCCTGACTATTCTGTGGCTGTTCTGGCTTTACATTGGTGCCGCCAACCCCGCACTCAAGCCCGGACGCGCTTCAGAGTTCCGGTTCTTCCATTGGCTTAAGATTTCTTTCCTACAGTTAATTGGGTAATTATTATTTATTTATTCAAACATTGCTTATATTATAGGTATGTTTCCAATCTGATGATGTTCCTTTAAGCCCTTAAAATTAATAATATTAATCACTTAATTCACTAATTACATATTATTACAAATTATTTAACCAATGTTTATGTAAAAACTACATCATGAATAATACCTGAAGTAACAAATTAACTACTTTTATTCCCATAACGAGGGCGACGCCATTGGTAGATGCTGACAACTTATTTCTCATTATTCAGGAAACGCCCCCTAGAATACGAACAGTTGGTTGTGACACCCGTACATGCAGACATATCCGTAGAACAAGAGAGATTGAACGATGACAACGAAGACTTCGCATCAAGGCGTCGGTACCACCAATCTACTGCGTTACAAAGTCATCTGGTCAGCGTCGATAGCTAAATAAATCAAAGTGAACAAAATAACAATATCAATTAAACATGTTCTAACATGTTGCTGACCAATCAATATTTGCTACACATCACATTTCTATGAATAACAATATTTGACCTAATATACAAAGAACATTAAATCAAATCTGAAACTAACATATTTATACCTGTCTCTGCTCGATTGTAGTCTGATGTCATTCATATCGATATAACCAAGTAATTGATGTGTGCAGCTACACCAAGGCCTCATGGACTAAAAAGTATCCTCATAAAAAGATGCAATATGCAATTCTCAAAAAAGCTGTGTAACTTATAAAATATGTGCTGAAAAAGCGAATACTCACCTTTTCAGTATCTATTTTATTAGAAAAAAAGTTGCAGAAACTGAGAATACATGAACCTGGCTCTGCATGACAGTAATTCGCTTAATGCTACTTTTAATCTTGAAAGCACTTCGCTATAAAGGCTTGTTATAGCTATAAACAATCCATCTCCTCATCTGTTCTGCCTGTATTTGTTTTGTTCTTTAGCACATATTAAAAACAATTTACAAGAGCACTAATTTCAAATGTTTTTTTTTTCAAATTATTCATATTTATTTCTTACGCTAAATAATTACTTTGTAGCATTTTTGACTGACTTTTAATTAAATGTACATACATAATTATTTTATTTTTGCATCTCTAATAGAGATTATTATAATTATTAAGATGTAACATTAAGATATAAGATATTATTAAACTATCATAAAATTATACACATATTTCATGCATAACTTTTGTAAGTTTAACTAAAATTGGATTAAATTATTTTTATATGGTATAGATATCTTTTAATATTGATACTCCCTATCTACGTGTTTTCTGAATACAGCCTGTCCCCGAAGTCGATGTCGACAACAGTTGCAAGAAAGCTTTAAAAAATCTTAGTCATGTACTTTTCAAATGATTATCCACAAAAAAGTAAACCTGTAACAATATTTGACTCCTGTAGCTACAAACGTTTATTTGTTCGTCTGGATTTCTTCTCATGTTAACCTGCATAGCAGAGCATAGTGGTTCAGCAATTTGGAACCTGAAACTTGAGTAATTTGCTTTAGTTTAGAAGATGTTCAATTTTGTCGAACCACATAATATTTAACAAAATCACGTTACTTGTAAGTGACTCTTGAAAAATAATAGTAATGGCAAATTACATCAAAAGTTGGGGCATTTTAGATTCTAAAACATTAAACCACATAGGTACCAAATTGTTCTCGAATTCAGCTCCGATCTGAACAATTTTACGGCGCGTCGCGTTCTGCGCGCGCCTCGAAGAGCCATCAGACCACCACAGATGGGGCCCAGTAGGGCTGATGCCGATACGGAGCCGCGGATGACAACGTGTTGCCGGGGCTCCGGCTCGAAGTGCAGGAACAGAAACGGAGTGGTTTTTAGTCAGTAAGAGTCTGACACTGCCTCTCGCCTCACCCGAGTGAGAGAAGTCATTGGATGATTATGCCCCCACAAAAAAAACCGAACAATTTGTTTTGATAAAAATTCCAGTACCCAATTATTGGGTTATTATACGACATTACAATGCAATAAGGCTGCCTCATTGGCCGAGTGGTCGCAAGTGTGACTGCCGGGAAAGGGGTCTTGGGTTCGATTCTCGGGTCGGTCAAAGAATTATTGGGTTTTAATAAAAATCTCAGTAGTAGCATCAGTATAATATGGCAATCGGCTCACCCCCTATTAAATGGGACTCATAACATAAATAGTGAAAAGTGGGCGTTTACATTGTACAATGACACTAAGTGCCGTCCTCCATCTCTGCCTACCGCTTCGGGGATTAAAGACGTGATGTCATGCGAATGGAATTAAAATTAAAAATATAATCATATTCTCATTCAATGCTTTGACGATATACCTAATTTTCGGTTATGCTAATTGTTAAGTATTTTACGCAAAAAGATGACATCATAAGTTATAATCTCATACAAAGTCCATACTAAATTGGTAGGTTTAAAGCAGTTTAAAGGTCATTTATAAAAACATCAATAATATTGTTTTTTTTTGGGAATACTACAGACCTGTGTTATCAACTTATCGACCCCTTAAGTATGGACCATTATTTATGGCACACCTGTATATTATTAGTATTGTTAGCGAGAAGTAGGTTGAGTAGGTACCTATATACCTACAGTACATGATTTATTTCTTTCTCTAATCCGGGACCAATCTGGGATTTGTTAAAGTCAAAGTCAAAGCATTTATTACAAATTTTCAATTAATCCATATGCTAAGCCCTTTTGAAACGTCAAAAATTTAATTGTTCGTGTTCGTCCGTCCGTCTGACTGTCAGTGAAGCTAGGCGCTCGTTCCAAAGTGTAGGTTCGAATGGAGAAGAACGACCAAAAAGTCAATCGTTACTATTTAAAATAATGATTTTACAGTCTCATTGATACATTACCTGATCTTTTATCTAATGTATAGGTCACTATAGGTACTTATATAAGTGAGAACGATGTAACGATAATACAACGCCAAAATTTAATGGGACTCCGGAATCAACTCCTGAAATAAAATAAAAAGCTATGAATGATTGTTTCAAATATGGTCCCCTCATATTATGTACACTTGCAATTTGAAATAATGACAAATAAACATTTTTGATGATTTTTTTCAGATGAAAACAAAAAGAAATGTTCGACGCCACAAGATATCTGGATTACATTGGAGTTAAGACTAGTTCTTAGATTATGAGCAACCACTGAGTGTACGTATAGTCTAGCGGAGCCGGACCATCATGCTGCCAAGCATTCTTATCTTCTATTTAATCTGACAGTTTATAGTACGCTTTTCTACATAATTCGTGTTTTACGCAAGTTTTACATTTTTTTCATTAAATATTTTGTAATTTATTACCTATAACATTTAACACATAATCACATACCTAATATTTCTGCACTTTGGACAGTCGGAATTTCGGTATAGCTAACTTATTTTTGAAGAGGACATCACTTCAATGATCGCCAAAGCCCGAGCTACTTTCGCGCAGCTGAGACCTGTGTGGCAGTCACGGAAACTAACCCGAAGGATAAAACTGAAAGTCTTCGGGTTCAATGTAAAATCCGTTCTGCTCTATGGGTGCCAAACGTGGAAGGTGACTAAAGACATCTCACGCCAAATTCAAATCTTCGTTAACCGATGCCTGCGTCGCATTCTCGGAATTTACTGACCCGAGACCATCTCCAACGTAGAGCTTTTGGAGAAATGCCACGAAAGCCCAATCGACTGCCAGATCAAGCGCCGCAAGTGGGGATGGATAGGGCACACGCTCCGAAGGGATCTTGCTGACCACATACCCAAGCAAGCCTTGGATTGGAATCCCCAAGGGAAAAGAAAGCGTGGCCGTCCTCGGCAAACCTGGCGTCGCACCGTACTGGCAGAAGCGACGAGCATCGGTATGACGTGGAGTGAGGTGAAGCGTGAAGCTCAAGACAGATCACGATGGAGAATTTCAGTGGACGCCCTCTGCCATCTAGGGGACACAGGATATTAAGTCAAGTCAAGTAACTTATTTTTACCTCTCGTATTATATTTATGCCGATCTCCTTTTTCAAATAATTGTAGATTATTTTACGTATTTACATAATATTTTCGTATATGTATATAAATTGAATTGAGAAGGTACTGATGATATTAATTATCGTTTTAAATATAGTTTTCTCAGAGATTTGCGATGGGGTAAGTTATATATTGCTCAAATAGCTTTTGCAAAATAAAAATAGATTATACATCCGCAGCTCGACCTCACAACAAAATGCCCGAGGGCAGTATGCTGTGAAAATAACTAAAATAGACAAGCCTTGCTGTATTTACGCCCATGAACTGCCTAGTTTGTCTAGCCGCATATGCAGCTGAGTTTAATCTCCCCGAAAGTGCTTTTATATGGGGCCCCCATTGCAATCTATCATCTAGTGTGACACCTAAAAATACAGTTTCTTTAACAAATTCCAACATTCTTTACTTTGCACGTTTGGTAAGCTAAATTTAATGCATTTAATTTCTTTTTCATTAAGCGCCAAGTTATTAATAGTCTGCCAAGCGAGTCTAGTCCCATGAAAGAGGCGGCAACATCCCACTTATTATCTCTTTGGGCAACACTAATATAACACGATGAAAACATTGATTGTTTTTTTATTTATTTCAAATATGTTTTTTTTATCAAAAATTTAAGTATCAATAAGTTTTCACCCGTTTTCACCAGTGTTGCCCCCTGAAAGATTTTTAATTTGACGCCTTTTTCATGGGACTAGACTCGCTTGGCAGACTCTAGTAAACCAATTATGGAGTTATGGACTCTAAGAATGGAGCCGTTTACGTCGTCAAAATTATCCGTAAAACCTATTTTAAAAATTAATGATATATCATATGAAATTGCACTTTTGGTTTATTTTCGAATATGTATGGTGTATTGTTATTGTAGACCAAAAATAATTTTAATTTGTTTGTTTATATAGGAAAAATATTTTCAAGAACTAGTAACACCATAATAAATATCCGTAAAATACATAGGTAGGTAAAATATCAACACTGAGCACCGCAATTTGGCTCTCAGTATTATATTGTATACCTAGTCTAATATGGCAATGGCACTCTGCGCATAGATAGACCTACTCTGCGCCGTCGGCGCCGTCATGGCGCCGTCAAACGAATGAATGAAATGCAATACATGTCAAATTGTCACGCAGTCATTCAAATTCATTCATTCATCGTCATCGAGTTCTACACCTGTGGTCTCGATAGTGTTTATTTTTATTGTAAAATTGTTTAATTTCTGGCTTTCTGAAATAATTTTGTTGTAAAAAATAAAGTGATTTTTTGTAAAATGGCAGATGATTTAAGAAATTATAAACTGCAACTTCAACAGGTTGGTACAATTCAGTGTTATCGATCTTTTTTGTCATCGTGGTATTTTCATCATGTTTTGATCATTGATTTCAGCTTATAATTTTGTAATTTCTTTATAGGTGGAAGCAGCGTTGCTCACAGATGGTGAAAATGAAGAGTTGCTGAAATTAAAGGCTGACTTGGAAGAAGTAATAGAGTTGACACAAGATCTTATCAAAACTCAAGACGCTGACTCCAAAGTGCCTAATATTCATGGTTCTAGTAATGATCATGATGTTGCAGCATCCGTGTTGGCGGCCGACGATGAGGAAAGCTCACACAAATACTTTTCAAATTGGCAAGTTGGCGAGAGATGTTTGGCGAAATGGCGATCAGATGGACAGTAAGTGATTCTTTGCTTTCTCATGCTATTTTTGCCTTTAATCTCTCTTATATTATTATTATTGTATAAAGTCATATTCTTATTATATTATCCAATTCTCGTTATCGCCATCAATAGCCTATAACTATCCTGCTGCTAAAAAGACTTCTTCTCGTTTGAAGGAGGAATGAACATTAATCTAGGTTTTCTCTCTGTATTATAGATACCTTCGCCATCTGTCGATGGCGTCTAAATAACCATAAAATCCATTTATTTTGAGCTATCTCTAATTGTATCTTTATGCACATCTTTGTAAATTTGTCCCCCACTACCCACTACTCCAAATTAATGCTATTAATGTTCTGTATCATCAAATGTTTTCGTATATACATTTCTTATTATATAGTATTATATGTAATAAAACAGTAGAAAAAGTGTGTAAATACGTTAAATATTTTTTAAATTAAAAAACAAGATAGGAAAGAGCAATGAGTGTGAGAGAGCCATGCATCGGCACAAATGGGCTACTCTGCTGGAGGGACACTCCGGCCTTACAGAAAACAGGCGTGGAACAACTTTTGCGTTTCCTCTGTCGTCATATGAGTGAGGTTACTGAAGGTCCAAGTACCCCGATAGGCAGACAATGCATTTGAACCACCTTTGGTGTTTTGGATGTCTTTGGGTGGCAATGATTAGTCTATTTGTTTACTGACATATGTCATAAAAATTGTATTTATTATTTGAAATAAAAAAACCGTTTGTATGCATGCTTCTTTGTTTGCACACACAATTCTTTCAACCTAGCAGAAGGATTAAAGTAAAACAAAGGCCTGGGCAACATATAGAGCGTAATGTCTTGGAAATTGGAACAAAACAACTGCCCAAAGTCAATAATCTGTGTTGAAAAATGAAAGAAAGTGTTCTGTGGTGAGAAAGTTGTGGACAGAAGTTACAAATGCTTATCACTTATTACAGATTTTATGAAGCTCTCATTGAAGATGTCACTGAAGGTACATTAAAAGTTAAATTTGATGGGTATGCAACAGCAGAAGTGGTATCCATTAATGATGTAAAAGTTATACCAGGAATAGGTATAAAAAGACCTCACAGCGGTGACGAAAGCAAGTGAGTATAAACAAACTTTCCAGTACACATAATGCCAAACCTTTAATTCCCTAGTCATTTTTGATTATAATTGTTATCATTATTTTAGTCTTTTGGGTTATCCGTTTCCGGATATTCAGGCTACCTCATAATTATCCATCCCTGTAAATGCCTTGCCACTTCAATTGTATTTGAACTAGCAGTTATTATCTCGGGCAACCCACATTTCACTTGTTGCCCACATAGGGGTGATCGTATTGCCATAATCCAGGTTGTTTTCTATTCTCATGCACTATTAGGATACATATTATTACACCTTTACAGACTGTTTCATGTACTAAATTATGTTTGTTTATTGTTTCTTTATAGGCATGGAAAGGGGTACAATAGAGAATATCTCAAGAAGAAAAAACAGAAGAAACAACAAAGATTTAAACAAATAGAAGAAGAAAGAGAAACTGAAAAGAACAAGTGGTTAAACTTTCACACCAAAGCTGCAAAGAAACCTGGTGTGCGAACAAAGAGTATATTTGCTTCACCAGACAATTTGACCGGCAGAGTAGGCATCGGCACCTGTGGCATATCAGGGAAACCTATGACTGAGTATACTCCTGGAGAAAAGTGGAAGAAAGGTGGATAATATTATTTGTAAATTTAGTTTAAGTTAGGTTTTATTTAGTCCTTGACACCCAGTAATTCAAAGTCACAATTTGTCACTTGGTGTTTGAAATAGTGCATGTTTCAACTGTACTAATATTACAGAAATTGTGTTTATGCTAATGTATTTATGTTATGATAATATAACATACAACAATTATTTGCTTTTATTTGTTTCTTTAATTGTTTAAGAATTATATATAGATTGACCAATATTGTTAAAGCAATTTCATAAGTATTGTGATAGGAAACAAATTAACTAATACATTTTTAATTAATTAAATGATATAACATACAGTAAAGCCCCTATCACTAATTATCACCAAGCGGTCAGTCAGACTACAAATTATAGGGATAGTTTGTAGTCTGGCAGAGCCGCTTGGTATAGGGATACGAATTTTCACTCATATCTGTCCAGTAGATTGGTGTCAAAGAGTAATGTTACAAACTGGTGGTTGGAGCACAACGTGAGCGACAGAATACATTTTTTTTATGTAACAGAAACTAAACCAAACAATATTTTTACATAACAATTATCCTTACTAATATTATAAATCTGAAAGTGAGTTTGTTTGTTCCACTTTCACGCCGTAACTACTAAACCGATTGCTTTGAATTTTTGCGGACGTAAAGTTAGAAGTCCGGATTAAATAATAGGGTACTTTTTAACCCGGAAAAATTTGATATTCCCGAGGAAAAACAAAAGTATTGGTATAGATGGCGCTGTGTGTATTGGTATAAGTCACATAGGCTACTTTTTATCCTTTTGTGACGCGAGCGAAGCCGCGGGTAAAAGCTAGTATACTATATTTACAAAAGACTGCCTCGTTGGCCGAGTAATCACAAGTGCGACTGCCAGGCAAGGGGTCTCAGGTTCGATTCCCGGGTCGGTCAAAGTACTAATGGGGTTTAAAAAAATATTCTCAGTAGCACGGAACCTGGAATCGTGCCCGGTATATGGCAATAGGCTCACACCCTATTACATAGAGCTAACATATAGTGAAAAGTGGGTGTTACATTGTCCAGTGGCATTAAGTGCCGTAATGTGCACCTCTGCGAAAGGATAACCCTTCGGGGATAAAATCGCGTGATATTACGTTATGTTAAAAAAGAATTGACCGTGATGTGATAGCTATGATAAAAAAGCCGACACTTAATTTATCATCATGGTAAAACAATCGCTTTCCAGTCCTACTACCAAGCAAACACGTATTATAGTAACACTTATTACTAGATTTGGCGACATACCGTTCATTCGTGCTGCATAGTACGAAACATTGAATTACTGATAATACCTAAGTATTCTAATAGATGGCGCCACATTCTAAATTTGCTAGACAGTTACTACCACGGAACAGAATTTTTGTTCCGTGGTTACTACTGAGTATCGAGATGTCTCGATAATTAGAACAGCGACACAGTGAGCCACACAGCGGCTTTTGAGTTCTGTGTTGTTGATTCTTTTTCTAATTTCATAATTTGTATAAGTATAATTTAGAATGTGGAAATAGGTAGTAAAATTATTTCTGGATAGAATGATTTCAGCCAAAGAAATTTGTGTGGTGTGAAGTGAGAAACCGCGTGATCAGGGAAAATTGGTTTAAGGAGGTAGGTACTTATGCCAGAAACGTTCCACCGTTTTTGCCCTGTACCTAATCTAGTAGAAGTCTGGCGTGACGATATGTTGGTATATATAAATAGATAGACAAGTACTTGACACGGCTCTGAAATCAAAATCGAAACTCATTCTGATAGTCGCAGTTCGTCCTCGTTGTATCCACGTCCTGATGTTGTACACAGAAACCGGTTTAAATGTTCCTACTACTTATTCCATACTTAAGGGAGGGAGTGCCGCCGACAATACGAGCCAAGTGCAGTGCTAGGGCGATTATGCTTGATGATGATTATGATTATAAAATTTATTGATAACTCAAGGACCCCGATTCACTGAGTCATTCATGTTTGGTATGTAAGTTAGTATAAACCTATACATGTATTAGTTCGTTTAGTACACAAACAGCATAAAAGCTCTAAAACCAAAGTATTCACAAAATAAATATCATTTCTAAGAATGTTTTCCATTTACACTTCACAACCTTTTTTTTATGGCATATGCCGAGCGAAACGAGCAGACGGATCACCTGATGGTAAGCAATTGGCGTCGCCCATGGACACCTGGAACACCAGAAGCATTACAAGTGCGTTACCTGCCTTTTGGGGATTAGGAGTTTGAGGATTGTTGGGGATTCGGGAAAGGGGGGAGGGAGCTGGGTCTTGCTTTCTTACAAAAATATCTAAATAGCGAAAAATCCACTTCCTATTCCTACAATCAGTTAGCTCGTCCGTCTGGTCGTTTGTCCCTATTCCATAAATTTAGATAATAATCATAAAAAGCGCATTTTCACGTTTTCAAAAAGAGACCATAAAGATAAAAAACGAATGATCTCGAGTCCAGTTTCTAGCCCTAATTACCGTAAGCTACGGCGCGGCGAGAGACTACAGACGTAGCTCGTAGCAGTCGTAGCGCGTAGCACCGTCCGAACGGCGTGCTACGAACTAGGCGCTACGGCTATAATATTTGCCGGATTATACTTAATACAAAATTAAGGTTAGTAGAGTTAGGATTGGGCATATGCAGGGTTGGAAACTTGGCTGTTCATGATATCTAATTACTTTTTGACAGTGCAAGTGACTATGATCTCGTCTTGGCCACTTTTACATGAAAATGTTTTGTGGGGATTATTCTCTCTTGAAAATCTCGCAAGTGGTTATAAGAGGAACATTTTTACTTATCTACTACACTCGATGTACGTACTTGGAAATATGGGCTTACCGCAATTTTTTCCTTAAACTATTTAGCTTCACGATTTCTATACTGAGGAGATAACGTTTAACGGCTTACTCACGTAACTGTTAGATTAGGAATTCAACTAGTTTCAAACCACCTTAGGGGCTCATAATGAGAAGCATTGCATTGCATTCAAAAAACTTAATAATTAATTTAGTATTGAAACATACAAAATTAACTATTATAATTTAATAACTTGAGGGTGAATCGAGAACTATCGATGACGTATGTACCTACCTAAGCCCACCTTATCAGTCTCAGTCTGCCTCTGACCACGCTCAGGCGGTAATCTAGTCGAAACGTCAATTTAATTATGTAGAGTTATTTTAAAATATTATAAGCACATGAAGCAAAATTAAGTGTTAGTTTTGTTCAAAGTTTATTTTAGTAGGCATTAACTTTTACTTAAATCGAATGCTTCTTGATAAATCATATGGAATATGGAAACACTGTGAACCATGCTGGGAACATACTCGTGAGTAAGTAGGTACATCAATCTACATATCCCACACTGCCTTCTATTTTGTATCCAAAGACTTCTTTGTGGGTCTCTAAATTGGAATTGACGCAGACCACAGTATCACAGGTGGTAACAGTAACCCATTTCAAACCCGTTCCAGTCTAGAGGATTTTAATAAGATTTGAACCGCAATCAGGTTGAGTTGTGGCAGCTCCCCGAAGGTTGAATGCCTATATAACTTAACTAACTACACAATATATGTATGACCATTTCTCCGTGGTTTGGAAAAAGCGTCAAGCATTTAACATCAAAATTCCAAAATAGTTTAACATCCCCAAAGCAAGCTTGGGGTTCAAAATCTGAATCGAGCACATATATGTTTCTCGCGAGAAACCGCTACAAATTGAACAGCAAGTGCAACCTACAACGTAAATAGCCCGGCCGGCTACCAGGTAGGAAGCTACCTTGGTGATCACGTTATGAAAAATCCTCTGTTGGTGCATTACATTACAATTACAATTCACAATATTGTACGGTGTTTTCAAGTGAAAATTACCATATGGGGGTCTGTATTGGAACTTTGCAACAATGCTTTTCTTAAGATGGCTTCTAGCAGATAGAGAATCTGGATGCGAATCTGTTTACACTTGTCTTATTTTTTAATGTTGTCAAATAAATAATCTCCCACGGGATCGGCTATAAAACACGTAGATATTCTATACACGGAATATACAAGTTTAATAAAATTAAACTTTTACAAGTAACTAACCCAGTAGGCACCAACAAAAATAGTTTTACTTACATGTTCAAATTGTACATTTGTCTCCGTCTCGTAAAACTGTTTCAATAGGTAGATAAGTCGTAATATGAGATCGACAAATTCGTTTCTTGGAGCCAAAAACTTGTGCGATAAACCGTAGACCGTAGCTACTACGTAATGTATCTACGTACTACGACAAACAACGACAACCCGTAGTCTTAAACAACAAATATTTTTTGTACTCAGCTTGCAAACTCGTGTAGTCGTATTTTTATGTAAATAGGTACCTAGACGGCCTACGTAAATATTTATTTGTCGACCTGTCATCTTCACACATGTCTATCGATTCGCCTGCGATATGGGGTCGTCAGTAATAAATTAAATACATGGATGTCAATGAAATTATACACTTAGTTGGATTGTCAGTCTTTCGTTAGATCCAACTAAGGCATAAGTTACCTTACGTGTATAATCATAGACGTAAATGTCTGACTGCCTTGCCTTAGATTAAATAAGGTTTTAGAGCCAGCCTGTAGCGCACAACTGGGTTTCGTTGTCAAGTGTGGTGTCATTAACTGTTTAAATAAAATAAAATCACGAATCTAGAATTATGGTGTATTCACCTACACTACTATACACTATACACGGTACACCTATATACAAACTTTAGTAAGGGGATAAATATAATGACCACCACAAAATGCTTTGACACCCTTAGTTTTGTAACCAAAAATATCTACTTAACACCAGAAAAATAAAGTAAAAACATACAATAGTACCAGCCTATTTTAATCACGACTCAACTTTAAATTGTATTCGACCACCAAATTTAGTAAATGATCACCAAATCTTGATAGGTTAGATTAGGTTTTTTTTTAAGGGGGGAAAATCATCGAATTACTGCTCCCGCCTGGGTTAGGTTAGGTTTTTTTTAAGGGGGGAAAATCATCGAATGACTGCTCCCGCCTGGGTGAGGCGGAAGGGCGTGTCAGACTCTTACTTACTAAAAACCACCCCGTTCCTTCTCCTGCACGTCGAGCCAGAGTCCCGGTTACCCGTTAGGTTCTCCGCGACAGGTTAGGTTAGGTTAGGTTTTAAAATGTTGGTTTAATTTTGGTGATCATTTACTATTTTGGGGTTACTCATGATTTACTTGGAGTCATTTTACTTAAATAGGATAGCAAAGTGTTAAAACTTCGGTTATAATTTTACGTTAAAATGCGAGTTTCATTTTGGTGATCATTTACTATTTTTGTCTGCTATTTGTTACTATATCTGGTGGTAAGTTAAACATAAGCCCTTTAGTAATTGTAACTATCAATGTACTGTTTTTCCTTTGACCAATGACATGCATGATGTTGAGTAATGTTTCATACAAAGTATACAGTAGGTACACCACACACATATGCAGGTGTGAGTACCTAATTATAATACTATTACTTATTTATGACGAGTGAAGGGAAGCTCACTCAGTAGGCAGGTGCCTACTACCGACTTAAATACGTAGGTAGGCTTACCCATTCAACAAATTGCAGTGCTCCCTAGTTAGGCATTTTAAATAATATATGTCCACCCTTTGAATATATGCCAACGGTTAACATTTAATAAACGTGAAAATATAATCATAGTTTTATTTACATCTTCAGTCACCGTCGGCTTTGCCCACACTACTTAAAGACTTGATTCTGTAACAACAATTGGATAGGTATACTCATGGTATACCTACTCCAACTAACTTTATTGTATACTTCCTGAATAGTAAGCTTTAACTAGAAAGCTGTTTCACCATATTGGAATAGAATTTTTTAAATCAGTCCGGACGTTATTTTTTAGTCCGAACCGATTTCACTTATTCTTTTAGGTTTCATTCCCACGAAAGGGTTCCTCTAAAAGAATTTTTTGGATAGTTCGTCAGGAAACACGAGCAACAGCAGTCTATTCGATGCCGTGGCGGGCTACAACAGAACAATCACTGACATCGGGGGGAAGTTGAGAAATAACACTGAGAACTACAAAGCATGTGATATTCATTATTTAACGCATTTGGTAGAGAATTGTATTCATTCTCTAGTTTGTTATGAATAAGTAGGTACTAACACTATAATCGCGGTGCAACACAGAATACACGCAACTTTAACTAAAACACGGCACCCGCGTAGGAGTTAATGTAAGCAAATCAGTCATGTGCGCCTTCTTGTTTACAAATACAAGCCGTAAATTAGTACCACTTCAATTCAAACTGTAACTACGCCATCATATTTTACTATTATTACTTAACGTTTTTAAACAACTTCTCAAAGTGTTAGAAACAAACTGATACCCGGTTATTTATTAGTATTAGCCAGTTACCAATCTCCAATTAGGACAAATCTAATTCATTGTTTATTTATGGCAATTAGGTAAAGAATATTTCTAAGTATTGTTTAATAATAGCTTTTAGCTAACTAATGTTGTTCATTCTTGCACAGCATACTATTTATAAACATTGTTGGGATGAAGATGGAAACCGTACCCACGTGAAATACTAGTAATGTTAAATATGTAAGTGAATATAAGTAGGTATCGTACATAATGTAGGGTAGTGTGGTGCTGGAAACAAGAAACATAGTTTTACCCAGTTTGAAGCTTGTAAAGTATAGAATGTGCCAGTAACTTATCATTCGGCGCAGGTCGTAAAACTCGACGAAGGAAAAGGTTGCCGTTGTGTTCGTAGATAGTGTATGGGATGCCAATCTTATACATCGTGCGTTTTATGAACCTCTAGAGTACTGGTAAATAACTTGTACGTATAGCATACATAGAGGTATATGCCATGGGTTCAGAAGATTGTAGAGTGAGTGTTAACCAGCCTGTACGGAAGTATTAGGATATTGAACTATTAGGACTAGTAACTTGAATTGACAATTTTTTTTAACTAGTAACTTTGTCCTTATTGTAGTACTTTTAGTCTTGGATTGGATTCCCGAATCTAGAAGATAATGGATGATAAGTGGGCGTTACATTGAATATCAGCATTCTAGGTTTACCCTCTCGAATGCCTGTATATGAGACACAATAGAAAATACATTGTGTTTCGCATGGATCCACGTTTAGACACCCGACAGGTTAAAGGAACGATGCTACGTTTCAATATTTCAATGCACAAGTGCAACAAACAAATCTATTAATTAACAGCCAAGACTTCGCACTGCCATTAATTACTAAAACGAAGCATTCGATTTAATAATAGATTTCTAATTTCGTTTTGAACTGCCATTGACTGGCCCACTGCACGCGTACCCGATGAGGTCGGGTCGGGTAAAGTACATAGTTTTATGAGAATTTTAGATTTTGTAATTTTCGCTCCCTTTTACATTGTACACCTAAATCATTTTTTCCGTTTTTGACTCATGATCATGGTACTACTTAATTACCTACACCCTTATTGGTTGAATGGACGCCAAAGCGACTGCCAAGTAAGGTATGGATAAAATGTTTGAATTTGACAAAATAGTATTATTATTAGTCAAATTCTCAGTTGTAGCAGAGTTTGGAATGGTGATTGGTGTTGACTATAGGCTCGCTTATTACATGAGGCTCATAACATGACAGGCGAACAATGTTACACACAATTTGTATGCCTCTGCCTTCCTTTTTAGTGTACATATGTATGTACGTTGCAAAGCTGCCGAGAAGAAGATGTAAATGTATACTAAAAGTGCAAATCCGTCTGCTACGTAGGGGAAAACAAGTTTTAATGTCAAGTTATATTTTGAATTCTGAAACAAACCAGAATCACACGACTTAGAACCGAAACTTGCACCACTACTGAGCTGAAAGCATTTTATATTTTGAATCAAAGCACCGTGTCGCGGGTTACACACCCGCACGGGTCAATTATTTGTATGATCCATACAGTTATGTACCACGTGAGTGTTGTGTGTTAAAAGATGTGTTTGTAAACGCTAAAAAAAGTTAATCTAAAATCGCAAAAAACAAGCTAATCTGGATTTACTTTAACACAACTTTATTCCTAGCAACTCCCACGCGGTTTCACCCGCTGTTTGGCTCCTATTGATCGCGGTGTGATGTTTTAAATAAATGGACTATCCCACACATAAAGAATCCTATACAATTTGAACCAGTAGTTCCGGAGATCAGCGCGGTCCAACAAACAAACAAACTATTTAGCTTTATCTATCGATCTATATAAATAAAAATGAATTTCCGTTCGTTCGTCTCGCTAAAACTGGGGAACGGCTACACCGATTTGGCCAATTTTGGTATTGAAGTGTCAGTGGGTAAGGAAGTCCAGGAAAGCTTTAAAAGAATATTATTGGGCGGTACGAAGTTTGCCGGGCCCGCTAGTAATTTGTATAAATAGTTGATACAAAATATTCCAAGAATCCGACATGTCACAAAGAAATCAATACAATATATTATACTAATTTATCAAACCATTATGAACCTCGTAGTCGGTAGGTACTCATAGATAATTACATCGCCGCTCATGCAACCTGTAACGCAATCATGACAGTCATAATGCCACACATTAACATGCACGGAAACTTTAATAAGTAGATCAATATAAAATGAGTTTGTAACTCCTTACTCCACCCATGGAAAACTGGCAATATCTACAAGGACATGGTACTACGTGCGTCGTGTGACCTTACACTTAGAATAATTGTATTATAATTATAAAATGAATTCAAGCTGTTTGGAAAGCACCCACGTGTGACTGAACACAGTACCTCCCTACGATAATGCCATAGCCACTAAATACACAAGCTAAACAAACTGTAGCCGACCTGTAACTTGACGACCAATGATGGTTCACCTTATAGATCGATGGTGACATCAGTTTTAAAATATTATCAGTATTGTAACAAGTTACTGTTAATTCATTTAAATGTAATTAAAGTCGACCTTCTATTCAATTGGTACGCTCTCTAAGTCTCTATTCCGAGGTAAAAGATTTGCTTACACTTTCAATAAAATAAAGTCAAAAAATATTTGAACTCGCAACCCACGGATGAGAACGAGGGTAGTCCCATGGGGTTATTCTTGGTCTATTATCGCGTTTTTTGGAGCTCACAGACTTCGTGCGTACTACTTGCCTGCCTGTACTTATACAATCATACCTCTATACTTTAGTGCCAGTTTGTTTTTTTAAGTAAACACTTGGACCATAAAACGTCTTCCAATTGGTTTTTAATTCTTGTTAGGTACGCCGGCCGTCTTCGCTAAATAAAAAATCTACCCGCCTAACTTATTCGCTAGTAACTTTTTATGAAACTGAAGGTGCCTACGTAATCTCGACTTGAATTGAATCACAATATTAAATATGCAGGTACGAATTGGGTTTTCCGTTTAGGAAAGAATTCACATGCAGGTACGATGACCTGGATCGTCAGAGGTGGCCAACAATTAGAATTAGAGGAGTGCGGGCGGGCGGGCGCGTTGGGCGGGTTGGGCGGCCGCGGCGGTGGCGGTGGCGGCGGTGGCGGCGGCGGCGCGTCAGTCGGCGTCCGCGTCCCGCGTCAGGTCGCCGCCGCCGCGCGCCTCGCGTGCTATGAGTGGCGGGTATTATGCCGGCGCCGCAGCCCCGCTCCGCCCGCGCCGCTCCAGCGCGCTCGCCGGCCGCCAGCGCCGCCGCCGCGGATGCCGCGCGCCGCCTGCACCACACCACCCTCTACAGCGTCTACAGCGCCGACAACATAACGCACGCTATTACACGTCTCACGTCTACCGGAATGTAAATATTTATGGATGTCAGTTTTCAGTTGTTTAGATTGGCTGTGAATTTTAAGGTACGTAACTAATGTCTGGTGTTTCGATTTTTGCACGACATTTTTTAGACAAACAATTACTGTGTCGTTTGAATAGACTAAATATGTCGATTATTAAATTTAATAAATAGCATGTCCGTTCAATATCGCATTGTGCTTTGTGCCTTTGTACATAATTGCTGACGATGACTTCGATTTTAATGGCGCTCGAAGTACCCTTCTATATTTGGATCGATAGTTTACCATTAAACGTAGGTAGCATTAGTCGAACAGATTTTTCGCATTACATTACGTGATTAAAATATGACGGCGGTAAACGACAGTGCGCCGCCGCGAACATGCCAAATTGATATTCATAACAATTTAAAAGCTCTCGTAAACTTTAATGAATATCAATCAATACTTATTAGTCACACCAGTTGAACTTTTATTTCCACTGGCTTCTGCATAACTTTCTTTAAAAATATTCTCACGCTAATAAGCACAACAAAATCTATTTAAACTTGTTAGTTAGACTACTTATTAAGCAACTTTGTAGTTAACTTACTTGTTTCAATTTTATTCATTTTTTCAAATATAATCACCATGCAGTTGTGTCATCGCTACGCCCGCATACTTTTAGTTACTTTACGTACATTGCTAAGTTTCCGAGTTAGTGAACTAGACAGGTACAAACAATACAATAACATCACTCCACATACTCACCGCCACTCACTACTTACTACTACATCATTTCCTTGATGTCATACAAGACTTAAACGACATATGAATTGCAAAAATCGAAAATAAAATCTTCATTGTTATTTAAAATAACATATTCATTGGCATAAAATGTTTAGGTGAAAATGAAATCGACAAGGCGTGTTCGGGTACATGAAGATGCTATACGCCATAGGTAATATATTACCATAGTTTTTATTTTATTTTTCTAATCGTAGACCTTGCGTAGTCAAGATAATACCTCCTACCTGTTTATTTACCACTAAATTATTTTGGTCCTTAGCTGAAATATTTTAACTTGAAAATAATTCTTCTTACCTAACATCTACTTATTTTATTTGCTGTAGAATTTAGTGTAAAGTTATAAAAACTGATTAGAAACACTATAATATAAAACCCATGAAATAAAGCACACGTCCATCAAGGTGTGAATTGTACTAATATATTATACTTACTTATAATTTATTATCCCTTCAAGTTTAGTTCAGTCAAGTTTCTATGTCAACGTACTCTATCTTTTGTACATAAAACTATATTCAAAGCTATCAATCACTTAACCCAATACTTTACTTTCACAGAGTGTGTTGTATCTTCCTCGTTTGTACTTAATAAATAACATAAAATAATAAACTTTTAATCCAAACACAACTTCTGTAATTTGAAACTGAACAAACGTCTCGTTGTATATTTTATATGCAATATTAATAAATAGCACTTTAGTAATAGCACATGTTACCTCATAGTAGCAAGGTAAGAAGGTATGTAAACTGTAGCACACATTTCTATTACTGGAGATGTCAGGTAATTTAGCTTCAACAAATTAATTTATTAAACAATTTATTTACGCAAATGGTTCATAAATTCTTAGCCGTCAAATATATACACAGTATATAACATATAGAGCACTACAATAGCTACATAATTTATTGTGCCGGAGGCTACTACGGTTATAAATATGTATAACAATCTACCATGAGGGTTTGTTTCACCATTCGCGGATCAGTTCTGTATAGTAAGATAGATAAAATATATTATACATACATGTCGGCTGAAACATCGCCACGTGTTATTATCTATTCGTAATAATAGCGTCGTGTAACATTTTATTAAAATAAATTTTGTAAAACTCCAATGACCTTCCAAAATTATTCTCCGTTAAAATGTTCAGTATATTCAAAATAATAATAGTAGTTCAGTATATTTAAACCAAGGTACTACCGTGAAAGTCACATTCGTACATGTATGTGTAAGTATATACCGCAATTGAAATTATTTAAAAACGTGTTAGAGTGATTCTTTCGACTTGCGCTAATAGTACTACGAAGTGTTGCGAAACGTATTCAAACAATTAAATCGATTGCATTATGTACCTACTCTCATAACACTACTCACTTTGCGCTGGGATTACTTTGATTTTTACAAATAACTAGGTAATGGCACATTACCTATATGTAGAGTATCAGTTCATTTTTAATAAAAGTCGGTTTTCGAGTGAGGGCATTCCCTGCCCTAGGGTGCTACAAAACCGATTACAGATTTTTATCAGTACTCACTGATTATCTTTTTGCGATTAACAATCTGCCTGGCAGGCACTGTGATTACGACATTATCTACCCAAGATCGTTGGTGGAAGCGTTTTATGGCCGAGACCCATATCTAGCAGTGGACGTTTATGGGTTCCGATTGTAATTTTCAGCGCTTTAATTAAGTAAACCGAGGCGACCGCAATAAAAGTACGAACACAATCTAATTTTTCAGTCCGTACTTACTCAGTACTTACACTATTGAATTGAGTAAATAAAAAAAATATGATTTGATATTAAACATGTTAATAAAAATACTTTTCCTGTTGCAAAAAAGGTTTGCGTGTTATATCTTGAGTAGCCTATATCTTCATTCATAAAAGTCAATGTCCCCCCTCTTGTAATCGGAAGCTTTCCTCGTTATCTGTAGGATATTGCTGTGTCGTTCATTCCTGATACATAACAGGCTTAGATATGATCGCTGTTTGATACAATTTGTTCCTAATTGCCAGTGATAGCAGCTGCCAATCCAACTAACATTGTACGTGGGTAATTTCTTAAAGCCCCCATGGGAGTAGGCTTATTCAGAACTGGGCACCGCACCGCGCTCAACATGACATACACCTACCTAATGAATATTGCTGGTATCTGAGCCTCGTCTAATACCTACCGGGGCATAATAATTATTATATATATTGTATATATTATAATATATACCGGGCTCGTCTAATATATACCGGTACACTGTTTATTGAATTACAAAAGGATTTATATTGCTATTAACTAACTTCAGTGCCCGGCTATGGTCACGTACTAAACGCAGCCGAATTGAATAATTCTCTAAATTCAGTGAACAAGCTTCTTACTGGCTACTGGATTTTGGGTAGATTTTTCAGTATTAGGCTTTCAAAAAATAAGGACTTTGCTATAGCCTCAACATTGAAATACTTATAATTTTCAACAAACTACTTAATAAAAACCGATTTCCAGCTCCTTCGTCATTTTTTATATCGTTTAATAAGTAAGTTGGAATATAAACCTGCTCCTAGGTACCTACAACAAACACTTTTCTGAAAACCGTCTCGAAATCGGTTAAGTGTATCGCAAGATAGGTAATGGAGATAACTAAAAACTCCTTCTATTTTGAAGTCGGTTAAAAATTATTAAAAAAAAATTGTTCACCTATTAAAACTGAACGCAAGTAGTAAATAGCAATTGAAATAAAAAAATACGTGACATTGCGTTGCGTTCGGAGTTACGGAGCAATTACAAAACTATAAACGTAGTCGTAGTTAATAATTATATTATAATTATTACCTACATTAATAATTATTATAATTAACTAGCGACATAAAACCACAATTCATAAAACATTTAATTGTTTATGTTTGCTGTACATACTAATATACACAATCATCTTAAATCGTCATTATCTGACTGCACACTAAAAAATCTGGTTAACCAATACATCTCCACCGTGTTTGCAAATAATTTATCTGGAGGACGTTATAACGACATTCAATTTGGCAACGAGCGATTTGTCACAGGTATAATTTGTCGACGCTCGTTCACTGAAAAGAACATTTTACCGCTAAATCTGTTTCATCATCCGCTGAAGTGTAAACCAAGTTGATTTTTCATGCGTAAGTAATTACATTAGATTACGACTTCTTTGAAACATTGTACACGGTGGCCAATCAAAAAAGGGACCAGTGACGTTTGTTTCTGACGGTCTCTCACTCATAAAAACGATTCTAGAACTTTTATGAAATATTGAATAGTGACCCGTCAGCACATCGTCCATTGGAAAATTATGTTTGTAAGAATTTTCTCCGTTTCTTGAAGTCAAGTTGGTATATAAAATCCTTCAGCGAACAATATTATGGTCTTTCATAGTATAAATAAATATTTTAAGTACTTTTAAGAAGTATCATTAAATAGAAGTACCTAAGTATGCGGAAGTTGTAAGTTGTTGTTTTTTGAAACGAAATAAAAAGCGGTAAACACGATTAATTCGTGTAATTGATCATCATTATTTACGAGCAGAGAGATATATGGTGTCGATAATGTCTATTAAAATCGATTTTTAACTAGGTATTCACACAGGACTTAATAAAGGGTTACGAATTGATCTATTAACGAGTGGTGTCTCCTTAATGGATGTAGTCAGGTGACCTAGATCACCGCGTAATAATAGCGTGACCATCTGCAAACAATTACTGCGGGCAAGCATAAGATGGAATCCAATATAATTTATGGATAGTAAAAATAAGATTGGATCAAAACGTGATCCCTAGGGATCGCACCGGCACGAGGTCATTACAACCATTGACTCGTGTCTGTTTTATCACTACCTACGCTTTAAGTCTGTTCCCTCTAGTAGGTATATCGGGAAATAATCTATTATATCACCTCTCACTGTACGAATGTTGTTTCGTTTCGACTAATGATTTATTTTATTGAAGACGTTGTTATAGACAGAAACAATTTGTTCTAACACTAAGAATCGAGAGCCATTGGAAATAAAACATAGCGTTCTTTTGAAGTAGTTACACAAGAGTATAAAATTATTATCTTCATGTACCTAAATAAATATTATCTACTTGTCAGCCTCATATTGTTTCCAAAGGTCTTGGCATATAAACGAACACTATTTTCATACTTGGAATCGTAAATATGGAAATGATATGTAATTTCAACCAGTCTCAAATAAGCTTTTTTTTCTTACAGAACAATGCAATTATTCTTATGCCAGACCTCGGAATCGAACTTAGGGCCAGACTCAACGTCCCTGCTTACGGCTGCAAGATCAGAATCTATGTAAATAACATATTAAATTTTATTTAGAAGTTCAAATGTTACTACTTCTACTACTACAATATTGAATAAGTAGTTAGATTCGAATATGACTGTACAGAATTTACCACCAGTGGCGACCAAGCCTTGGGGAATGCACATCCTACGTCAATTAACCAAAATTACATTAGTTCTGACATAAAACCCTGTATTCACGAATAAGTAAGCATTATATGAGTTCTGATGTAACGTTTGCACTGTAGCAATGTAAACAAACGCGCTAATTTTAATACCAAATCATAAACAATAACAATAATGACAATAAATAACTCGCACGCACGTAATATCGACATCTCCAATAAACTACAACATATGCACGCCATCACAGAAACTCATTTAGAAGCATGGCTAATTTTCACGCCGGTGTAATTAACTTGCTACGTATACACGATATTATATTCATCGTGAGCTGAATTAAGGGCAAAACTTTGACACGGACTTTGATGTCGGCTTAAGTAAGTATACCGTCTTCGTCTTGTTTAAGTATTATGCCGTTCTCGAAGAGGACTTATCCTATAACTGTAACTAGAAACTTTCAATACATGTACCTATCTATTTTAATATCAGTATAGCAACTTAGTAAATCAGTTCCAAAGTTGTCGATGTATCTACGAACAGGGCATAGCAGCAAGTACCTAAACTTTCGTAATCACCTACTGAATAAATTCCTACCATAAAATGTCATGAAAACAGCTTATACTTAACCCAAAATTGTGGCTAATTTCGTATGCTTAATTTCACATTGAGGTCACGTTATACATTCACTACTAAATATTCACACAATATCCCATGGGGCGAAAACAAAAAAAAACTAGTTTATTTATGATTACCTACGTAATTAACTACAAGTTCGTAGATGCACAAGTATGAAATATATTTTTATGCGCCGCATGATCCGTTATGATAGGAACATGTGTTACAAAGGTTATAACGCCTTATTCCTACGAGAAGTTTAATCGTTATGATTACCATATTTGTATAAGTTGGAAAATTGTAATTAGAATAGATTTACTTAATTTAGAAAGGGAGCGGTGCTACCTCTCACTTCTCAACGACTCCTTATTGTGTGGATTGAATATTGAATTCCTTTGTTCTAGCTTCATAGATTGTTTGTGTTCGTAGTAGTTTTTGTTGGGAATGTTTGTGTATGACTCCTATATGAAGCGTAGTGTAACTGAGTAGTAACTTAATTATGCAAAACCTTTTATGGAACCAATATACAACATTTTTGCTGAAAAAGTATTCTGCAATATTCACACAAAAGGTATTTTAGTACAGCTGTGGATATATTTATTTATACACGTATAAGTTACATTACGCTTCGTAAAGGGTAGCAACTATCCAATTTCGTAAAATGAAAGCTGACGCGTAGCGGTTGGTAGCTAGAAGTTATATGATGTTTGTGGATAGCATCGTCTCCGCCGAGCAGAGGCAAGTTTATCGTCGCGATTTCATCGCTTTTCCGCCGTGTTGATAAACTGAACTGTAGTCGTGCCAGCGGGCATTTACGATACGTAACGCCACCAACTTGTGATCGTATGGCTCACTACAATAACGAATCAACATTAATTGTTGCCAAACCAGCTAAACTCAACCTCATACTTCACAGTAAAACTAAAATCTTAACGTTTAACTACATGTAACAACCGCTCTCACTCAGTTTTCCTTCCAAACAGGCATAATGCGATGGTAAATATTGTTTGTGCTTAGTATATGTTAGAAAAGCATTAAGTTTGGGTCGGTGTGGTGGTAATTAACTTTATAGCTGTGTATAAATAATGTTTCTGTAAAGTCGGTTTGCTTAGTATTGTATTTTATATTTGTGTCGTACATCGCCGCGGCAGCAAAATCGTTTTAATTGAACAAAGCACTCAGAGTTTCCACGCGGCACGCATTTTATTGAGTTGAATTTAGCAAAAGAATCTGTTTAAGCTGTAAAGTCAATTCTAATTTATTTTCTCAGTTTTATAACACTTACGGAGAACCTATTAAGAGAACTGAAATTAGTAAAAATAAAATGACATACTGAATGGATCCAAATAAATAAACATGCACAAATAGTAGTTAAAGTATTCAACATAAATTTAAACTTTTTAATTATTCCGCGGGTCGCAGTAAAAACGTATTTGTTTGTGTGTGTGTGTGTTTGTGTGAAACAAAATGGAAGAGAATTGATTAATTTACATAGAAGATAAAATGGCGAGGCGGCTTTTGGCGCCAACGTGAATTTTATTAATTTTTTGTCAGGGTTGGTTATCTGATATTAATCTTACATTTACCTGTTAGCACATGTTCGCTGTTTTTTATCTCAGTATTAACTCACAATAAAGCACATCTAGAATCTAATATACATAATGGTTTAATAATATTTCAATTCACCAACTAAATATAACAACACGAACACACCAAATCAGTCATGGCTTTCTGTCTAGCACCTTTTCTTCTCATGTTAAAAAGCACGCATTCTACATATTAGATATAATATACTTATTTAGCATAATTAAGAGTAATTTATTGATGACATGTACAGTGGGTAAACACTTTGTCAAATACAGACAATCTAGAGACCGTTGTTGCTTATAATACCGAAAACAAACTCTTCTAATAAATAACCAGCCCTTTATATTGTAACTGCCGTGATAGCAGGCATCAATTATTATTCCTTTAACAGTTCGAATTAATTGCGTATACATAACGAACTTGCTGGTAAAATCACAAATTGGTATAAGGGTACTGACGAGCCGACTTCACTGCGCATTTTGATATTTAGCCCATCCGTAATTTAAGTACCTACAAGCTATAAGTACAATAGACTTACAACAGATGCATATCATGGACCGCCAGTTAAGTCGGTCTGTAAGTACCCTATTAGCAAATATTTAGCTGAGGGGTGGTGTGACCCGATTCTGTAAAGTTGCGGTAAGGGTTAACACTTGTGTGCGCAGTGTGACACCTCTGCCAGCATTTGATTTGATTGATGCTAAATGAAAATATGTGGTGCGGCTCGCTTGAGCGTAGTTGCGGTGTCGTTGGTTGCAGTGAGTGTAAGAGTGGCGGCGACCGGCTGGCGACGCCGCGGATGTCGCTACTTGGCAAACCGCTCAGCTACCGCGCCACGCGACGCGACGCGCGTTACCGCCGCCTTCAGTCCAAGTTCTACAATTTCCTTGAACGGCCTAGAGGTGTTAAAGCTGTCCTTTACCATATGATCGTGTAAGTTTCGTAACATTTCAAAACCTATGTCACCCATTTGAACATTCTGAACATTCTCGTACCAAAGCGTAAGTTATTTTATATGAATTTTGTAAATTACCGTGAACTAACGATCTGATCGTTCACAGACAGTAATTGATGTTCAATGAAAGCCGGAAATTCAGCTAATATCAATGTTTTATAGCATCAATCATACGTAAAACAAACAAACGGAATTGTAGCGCCTTGTTTACACCACGATACTTAACACCCTGGCAACGTCCACAAATGTATTTTATTTCCTATTGGATGGCACGAATCATTCACACTGTCATATTACTGATCAACCTTTCCTCAATCCTCAATAAGGGTTAATTCAAGTATTAATTCTTTGGTAGCCAGATCTAAGACTTTAACTGTATTAACAAATATTTACAATGGATTTTTAAATCTTGAAACAAGCTGTTTATCCTCCCACTAAAAGACCAATATTTAATAAACTTTGAGTCAAACTAGTCTCTATACACTTTATACATAAAACAAACACGCAGTTTTCCAGACCATTAATGTGTTTATCAATGTGTAGACGTCTCATTTCGCCAACGCGTATAATTTTAAAAAAAGAAGACGCCTAATGAAATTTGTTATTTAAAAAACACTAAAATAGCATTCAATGTTAAAATATTGGCAAGAAAACTATGTGGGATTACAGTTGTATCGTGGTTTATGACATCATAACACAATAAACACGTGTGGAATAAACACACGTGTGGACATGCATGACCTAGAACGCATAAAACTTAATCACCTTACTTATCCGGTATTTTATGTCAAACATATTATCATGAAACAGTCGTTTACAAATATCAAGGGAAGTAATTTCAAAAAGTTTTTCTCATTTTAGAATTATTTAGCGTGTTCATTAGTTTAAACTATTATGATAATTAAAATGACAATACTGTCCATTCCGCTAACAGTCTTGTTGGTTTTTCCACTATTCATACAAATAGGTATCTATTATACTTGAATTATAACAACAGCGCTAAACAATACATTCCGTTTAAAGCGTCATTGTTTCTTCATTAACATTATGTATTTGCCAACGTGTGTCTCAGCAATGGTCTGCTACGTCATGTCTGGCTGGTCTTTGTAAAGTCTTTGTAAAATAATAATTGAAGTCGTGGCTTAAAACCAAATTCAAAGTGCGTGAGTGAAAATATTTAGACATCCATATAAAATAACTTGCGTTTGAATACTTTTTGTTTTATAATATTCAAGAAATAAAGTAATGACTACCAACTACATCACCTTAATTATAGATTCGGCATCTTTCCATGTAATCAAATTCATGCAGTTACACGCTACAGCTGTGAATTAAATCGTCGGAGTTAAATAGGAACATTCGTAATTCCATCCGACAATCAACTAACATATTCACTGTCGAAATTCGATTACGTCAGATTCTGATCGCTTTACCTGCAATCCAACGTCCTACATTCACGTATTTACGTTATGTTCATAAAAGTTTAAAGGCAAATTTTCTCTGCACAGATTTCTGATGGTGTTCATGTGTTTATCGCTGTCAGTTTTCTCAACAATTGAAGAATACGAAGCAAAAGCAGGAATTGTCCTTTTCTACATGGAGACAGTAGTTGTAATTTGGTTCGCTATCGAATTCTTTTTAAGGTAAGATTTACTAAGCATACAACTACCAAATTGCTGTTAAATGAATGTGATGAAAATTGGATTCTGAATTGTTTATGCGCTGTAGGCAAGTTCTCTTTCAATACTATAAACGGTGCACAAAGAGCTGCCAATCTCGAAGTTTCAATTCGACTATCGTTTTACAGCGGCTGTGTTTAGTTTGTGGATTCACACAACAAACAACACTCTCATAGATAAGTTCTGAGAGCTTTGTGCTCGTAAAGTACAGAAGTAGGTAATTCGTCACTCAAAGTAGACGGATTACTCTGCCTACAGTGGGCTCCCCGTCCAATATTTTCTTTTGTTTTATTTATTTGATCTATCTATCAAGCGCTAGAGTAACTCAGTAACACGGGTCAGCTGCGCAATGACAATGACACGCCAATGAGCTCAAAATTCCTTTCGTTTTTATTACATGATTCAGTTTAACTGTCTAACGATAAAATAGCGAAGCTAATTTTGCATGAAACGCAGTAATCAATATGTCTATCAAAAATTCGCGGCTATCGCAAATTCTAATCGGTTCTATGTTGAAATCTTTTCGAGTTGTACCGGCGCCGGCGCATCAAAAAGATTGATTGATTAATTTGACGCACATTTGTAAATAACTACTTAACGTGTTTAATTTTAAAACGATAGTTCTACTTTTTATGCCTCTATTAATTGTACTATTTTTACAGGTTATGGTCGTCAGGATGCAGATCCCGGTATCAAGGCTCAATAGGTCGCCTCAAATTTTTGAGGCGACCATTTTGTATTATAGGTGAGTTTTAGAAAAAGTTTTTAAAATTATATGTCTTACCTACCTATCTTAAAAACCCATATGCTCAAACATCTAATGAATAAGATCGTATATTATCATACTAAGAGACTGTTGATCCATTTATCTTAGCTAAATGTCTTCAGAGAGTTCTCAATCATTTGGAGATGCAAGAATTTAGAACATATTGAAATCATAATAGATATGCATCCAGCGCGCTTAACGTGAACTTTAAAAGTAGCTACTTTAGCATTTAGTCGATACATTAAAGTTGACTTTGTCATACTGTTTATATAATACACCATGTAGAAACAGTATTATAAATGTTGTTTACCGGAATAAAAAGTGCTCCGATGGCGTGTTGAAATACAAACAACAGACAAAACTCACGGCGACTATATCAAATAAACAAATATGGGATACAAAGGGCAAAACAGAATAAATACAATTCTCAACGACCTCCAAGAATCGTCAAAGAAAATGTCTAGAGAATGCCAACAAATATCATAAAAGAAGGGAGTTGGAAAAATGCGCCCTGTGTACTTTCATCTTCAACATTTCCGAGTAAAAGTCACGTTTTGTCTATAAACCGTGACGAAGTGACCCTATTTCAGGTGCGAGCAATCCGCTATGACCTTCGCATTTTCGGGCTGGTCTCCCTTGACACCAGTTTCGTGCGACCGCTTTGCGCTCTCTGGGGAGCCGGCCGCTCGAGACCGTAGTGGCCGCACTGCCGCCACACATGGCCGCACGATATTACCGCCGACGACAATAAAATGAACACTGCCCTCCTACCCGATTATATATTAATGTTAAAGCACAAACATTCGCGTGGTAAACCATTGCCGTTTGGGCCGTTCGTTTCAAATATAAAATTAAAAACTTGATTTCTGTTGCAAAACCAATTAACGAAAAATGGGCCTTTCATAAATTTATGAAGGCTTAATAGTCAATCTTAATATTATAGAAGGCGAAAGCCACTTGACTTAAAACTTCATAGGGTTCATTTAGTACAGTAACAACGGCTTCTTTAAGAAAACTTTGAGTTATTCTATTGAATTTTGGACAGGAAAAAATTATAACTCGAACAAAGAAGTTCACTGCTTTGTTTTTCTTTGAAACCCCAATCTGTAACTTACTACGTAATTACCCCTTTTCCTCTTTCCTGCATACCAGTAGCTAGACATAAAATGGGATACCTCCCGGCTCCCTGCATTAATAATAAAACACTCTCTGTCTAAATTTCCTTTGTTCGATTTTTCTTTTATTTAATTTATGGACAAGTAATAAAATATGTACGTCATGATTTTGTAGAAGCTGTTTGATCACGTTTCAAATTTACTAAAAAATATTTCTGTTACACAGATTTCTTGTGATAAATATTCTTGTTAAATGTTTTTACATTGACTATTGGGTACCTCTACTATTTTATTTTTCAGAAAATGTTATTGTTCCATGTTTTCTTATTTGTATTCCTTGTTTAAATTATTTGGACATCGATGTCTAGTATGCTAGAATTCATAAATCGTTTTATGTACAGATGTAACCACAATATTGGCATCGGTAGTGGTGCTGGGTATGGGATCATCGGGGCAGGTGTTCGCCGCGTCTGCCCTTCGTGGACTGCGATTCTTCCAAATCTTGCGCATGGTGCGCATGGACCGACGCGGCGGCACTTGGAAACTCCTCGGCTCCGTAGTGTACGCACATCGGCAGGTAATTAATTAACCGTCACGATAACATCACGTTAACTAATAGCTTACATTCATTCCTTTACCTTAATGACAGGTTACAAAACACACAAAGAGATAATGGACTCACTCGCTGAATAACAATGAAAAATGACAACGCTTTGTCGAATAACACTGGCTATAATAAAACTGAATTGGCCACTCTCTCTATCAATTGTTCTATTCTGAACGCAGATATCTTTCTTATTTTATACCATAATTTAGGAATGAACGAGACATACAGTCTGGCTAGACTGTTTGTCTTGATCTTGAAGCCGCAACTCATATGCGATCTATCGTTATCGTTGCTATCGTTGCTCTTAAAATGGATTCTGGAATTACTGAATACTGCACTGCTTGGACAGATCTCTGTAAAAATCTATCTTTCCCCCTGCTTAACACAATAGTATAATTATGCCATACAGCTATAGTTTCGATAAAATCACCCGCACGGCACACAACTGTACAATATTATTCGTAATGTAATAAAACTGATTCGAGCAGATTTACGTTACACGAGTCATTGCGAATCATTGCCATGTATATAGCAATCATTCGCAGTGGGACATGTATATTCACACAACCATAGCTTTCGTAGGGGTAAACAATAAAGATTTTTGTCAACTTGCTTACAGTCCTAAATGGAGATGTTTTACATTGTAAATAAAGAGACGAAAAAACCAGAGCAGTGATCAGTCCGCGCCGCTTCGAACAACAACAAAAACATAAAATAAAATGTCAGTCGATATTGGTGGATCTATAAAGTCATCAACTAAAGCGCAAAACGTGTAGCTACTAAAGACTATACTTACTTTTATACGTATGTCGTAGGCAGTTCTTTGTGATAGCGTTTTCAAGAAATTTGCATAGCTAGGCCACGACCGACTGCGGAAAAACGAACGGAACCGTAATCTAGTCTACTCGCCGCCGCCATACATTACATTTATAACTTCGGCCATGACGAAGGTAGACCGAGCTGGATACACAAACTTCGACACATGTTCTGGGCAGGTTTTATATCAGAAATGTAACGGATTAATATAGAAATACCTCTCGTATTATTTTAAATCACGAATCCTTTTTTTTGCCGTTGTCCAACTTTGGTTTGACCTCAATTGGGTATTTTCCAGGGATTATGAATTCACTGACAAAATATCTTTACTAAAAACTGTGTCCCTTGTATTTACAAATAGATCTCTTTTTTAATTAAACTTCATTTTCCTCGCTCGAACCGGCAAAAAAACACGCACCGCTTAGAACTGAGTGAATCCGGACTAGTTCGGTCTCGTCCACTCTCGGCATTAATATAAAACTAGATTGTTATGCATATAATCCATTATTCGCCGACACAAGCACGAAATACTCATAAACTTGCTGATCTACCTCTATTCAACTCTATTTTTTGTTCATGACTAAAAATTATATAACAACAAAATTCTAAAAAATGCAAAGTTCTGCTGTCACTTGTTCACAAATTAAACATTTGTAGACATGTTTACAACGATTTCCGACTATACGATAATATTATTCATTTAGGTACAAAAAATATTAAATACATATATTTACAATGAATCTCGGCCACCTACATACAAAGCTTGTTGCAAATACGCCGTGATTGAATGACAGACAAAGACAACTAAACCACGTTCACGTAGCGAGAATATATTCCTCCATCCAAGCTTTACGACATGTTCCGTTATGATAAGCTCCCAAATTCATACACAATCTAATTTTATTTCATACAGCGACGTTTAACATCAATTAGTATTACACATCCCATCTATTATTTTTATTGTGATTCAAAACACATTATTACTATACGTTTAGGTACTTATGTATATTTATCACAAAACTCCTAATTACCCATCAGAAATTAACTTTCCCTTATTTAATTAAGTAGGTACTAATTTATGAAAAGCAAATTAGGTAATATCCGCATAAAACACCGAACATAACTACACAATGTTTTAGGAACGTAATTACTTTTGATTAGCAGACGTTAAACATAAGTATGCTAACACGGTTCTCCATATTACTAAACTTACAAACAACAAACTGTTTATCTATCCGTGAGTAATCGTAAATAGATTGCCGAGTGGAGCACTTTTATAAGAATTCACGTAACGGGTATTTAACGAGATACTAATGAAGTGTAGTGATCACGACCCTAAATATAAATAAACGAATGTTAGGACCAACATAAAAGTGTCAATAATATTTCATTGCAGATGTTTGCACAACTAATTTACTTAGATAAAATAATTTTTCTTAGACAAATTAAATAATATAATTTGCAAAGTGATTCCATTACGAACATTGAGTAATGCGCTTTGTATATCTCATTCGAGATGCATGCGCCATTAGATTTATTTGGCTCTTGTTTATTCATATGTGTGTGTATGTATGTATGTATAAACGTAAGAGAATAAACGTAATGTATACATTACTTTTAATAAAATATCACATCTACTTTTAAATTCAAAAGGAATATTTAATAATAGATTTAAAATTTAATATTCGGAAGTAGTTTTTACGTATACATAAAGAGTATAAAAACGTGTAGAGTGGCTAAATCACATGCAATATTTCGCATCAATGCATCGCGAAATAATTATACAAATATGTGTAATAATACTATTTAATAATATTGTAATATAATCTATTAATATATTAATAATATATATATATATTATATATATATATATTAATAATTGCTTTCATTGTTGGGCAAAGAAACGTTGAAATGTGTGTTGAAAAATCACATAAATAAACACATTTATTTATGTGTTTTTACCTACTGAACTTTAACAAAACTGAACTCTATTGATACTAACGTTGTTGGCACGTTATTCTTCCAAATATTCCCATTCAGAAACTAAGTATAAAATATCTTCTATACTTACTAATGCTATTAATAAAATGATAATAAAATAATACATTAAACATTCAAACGTCATTTGATGCCATACACCTATGACATACTCACATACATATGCACCTATGACGTAAAAAGCCCGTAAAACGATGAGCGTTAGAAAATTATCACCTCGACGTTAAGCACGTAAAGGTCAAAGAAACACATTTGTACAAATGTAAGTATCAAAGATAAAGTTAACCGTTAAGTCGGTAACTAATCAAGAACTTATTTTATTAACACTTGGAAACATAAAATTAATGCATATTACAGTGATTGTGAAGTAGTTGTCTTAATTACACAACAAAGGGTTCTATTCATTCATTCTGATTTTCGGACGGTAATGAATATAACCACACACTTATCCCATGAGAAAACTACTATTTTTGCTTGTTCCACATTCATGCATATTTCATAAATGAGGGCCACCGGTTGCAAATACTGAGCACCTCACCTTTTACCGCACCTTTCAAAGGTCATCAATATACTTCTCACATACAATTATTGTTGTGAATGTTCATTAATATTTATGAGAATTATTCCATACCCTTGAGGGTTACATTTAATGGATGTAAGAGAAGATACTGCGCTGTATTTGAGACGTATCTGTTGACGAATGTATATGGAACGAGGCCAGTCGCAAAGCTTGTCACTAGTCACAATTCGTTGGTAATGTCGTCTTCAAACAGTACTATTTCGTTTTATAGTAGTTTAAGTAATATAACATAGTTATGTACATTGTACTAAACAGTCCTATTGTAAATGTATTTTTGGATAAACAATTCTAGTGGTAGCGTACAAAGAATATTCATAGCAATGATTAATAGACGATAAGGAAAAAATAATAATTGATTGAATAAAGGGAAAAGGAATACAATATCCCTCATTAACTTTCTGCCTTCTTGGATTAAAATAGCAAAACTTACATTTCCTCCTTGAACAAGGAATAATAATCGCATAAGAGAGGACTTCGTTTTCAGCTCATGAAGACTGCACCAACGAGGTAATAATAAATATAAAATGTAAAAGAAATTTCTAAAAAGTCAAGCGCTTAACCGAGATAGCGCTAAAAAGAAAAATGATGTAAATTAAGTACCCACTGCTTTTCATTTCCGTGTTTTCTCGTCACAAAATGATCTCGCTGCGAAATTATATTTCAACGACTTCAAAGTAAAATGTTCTTCATGGAAAGATTCCCTTTTTTGTTTTTTTTTAAGTCGGATATTTATTAATATGTTAACAAGTTCCAACGAATTAGAATTTGATTGGAGTGGAAATTCGGTAATTGACAATATTGTCCATCTTTGCAATAAAAATAAAATAATGTGGAGTATCCTGCATTTTACCTCTAGTATGTGACTGACCATATTTTTTTTATATTCACTATCAATTAAGATTAAAGGATTGATTGTTAAAGTATTTTAGAATAAGAATTCTTTTGTTTTAGTATATTCGTTCCAGTCATTTTCGATACGAAACTTATTCTACTTTCAAATTACTACATGTCAGAAATATACGTACACGATGGTCCGTAGTTGTCATGGTGTACGTAGCAAGCGCGTAGAGACTTTCGTAGCACGCATCGTCCTTGCGCGTAGCAGGTGTAGTCGCCGTCGTAGCGGTGGTCGTAATAATAATTATGGCGCTAATTTAGCATGAGTAGGTACTTTTTCCGATTTCTATAATTGTCTAAAAAAATATATTCAATGCAATGGTTAGGCGCTGGTAATTTTTCTATTGAACAATAGACTAATAGAAAAAGAAAGGCGTCCATATCGAAGTAGCATTGCTGAGCAAGCATCGCCAATGCTCTCGTAGCAATTTCCTCCGTCCAAGTGTGTAGTAGTGGAGGTGGAGGTAGTGTAGGTAGTGACGCTGTCGGCACGCCGCCAACGAGGCTCAATATCTACTCACAATCACTTCAGGTTAAAGTTGCATGATCACAATGCAGAGCAAATAAACCGGAGCAACTGGCGCGTGCCTCGCTTCTACAATATTGACTTTCGGAACGCTTCGTTCTAAAGCAAACACAAACGCTGGCATCTCGTTTCAATGCAGCTGGGTGCTAATTTAATATCTAATATCAGCTTTAATACGGACGACTTTTATTCGGCTGTTTACGTCATGAATAGTTTATATGTGTGCGGAGTTGCTTACCCTCAAGGGACGTTCTCGATACCAAAACTGCTCGCGCAATATTTTAGTGTAAGTAACAATTTGAGCCACAAAATTTAGTTTTTCGTCTTTACGACTGTTGAGGTCTTCACTCAGGAAATGGATGTAAATATTTATTTTATTTCCAATTTAGTTTTCATCACAAAATTTTATGAAATTAATTCACTTAGAACTACTTAAAAATAAAACCGAGTCGCCATCTACTATTTTTAAGGAAAATGTTTCTATTAAAAATGTTGCAGTAACTTGCCTAGTCAGCGTACGTAGCTCGGCGATGAAAATTTATAACAGCATGTCAGATTAATGAACAAAAGCTTTTGTTACTTAAGACTGACTAAGTTTGCCAACATTTTTACTCAGTCTATTGTGACTAATATCTTGTCACAAGCAGCAATTTGTGTTTGTTTCGCAAACGTTTATACACAGACATTAGTAGGCACATAAAATAAATAAGTGCGGTGTTTTGTAAACAAATATGTAGACTGGAATAATAGCCCCAACATGCAACATGTCGGGTCCCAGGGGACTAGGCAGGTTGTGCTTGTTCTCATTACGTCTGTTATCTTATAATTCCCGTGCAATACTCTGAGATGTCGATGTACATTTGGAGAAATGTAACATATGGAATAATCAAATAACTGGGCGCGGTAGAAATGCATGGTATTAAGAATTCTTCGACTTTCGTATCCCTTCTTACGTCGTTCGCTCAATGGCGCTGAATGTTCGCATTCTTCGGGTACATATTTGACATGTTCCTGAATTTCTTCATAGACGTGTAAATTTCCTAGTAGTTTTTCCTCGCCCAAGAACAAGCGATAAATATTTTGTGTTGGCTCCGACAATGGTACTTCCACGGTAATAGCACACACGATCTAGGAGTGTAATCAGAATGCACCTACACTATTCAGTATGGGGCGGGAGGAAACGCCCGGGTGTCATCACTGCGAGGACCGCCCTGAGGACACGGTGGAACACACGGTGGGAGAATGCCCTTCGTGGGCTGAGCACCGCCGTGTCCTCAGGGAAGTGATCGGCGATGGCGACCTCTCGCGTCCGGGCCTAGTGCAGGCCATGATGCGGAGCGAGGGGGATTGGGATGCCGTCTCCTCCTTTTGCGAAGCAGTCATGCTAGCTAAGGAGGAGGCGGGACGCGTGAGGCAGCGAAGCGCTGCCTCCTCGCAACCCAGCCATCGCGAAGGACACACCGGGCGTCGGGGATCGCGGGACGATCTCCGGCCACCGTAAGCGCGGGCCTGCGGACGGCGAGCATGGGTGGCTCCCCGTCCGACCAGAAACAGACCCGAGCGTACGGCGCGTCGCGTTCCGCGCGCGCCTCAAAGAGCCATCAGACCACCACAGATGGGGCCCAATAGGGCCGATGCCGATTCGGAGTCGCGGAGAACCTAACGGGTAACCGGGGCTCCGGCTCGACGTGCAGGAGAAGGAACGGGGTGGTTTTTAGTCAGTAAGAGTCTGACACTCCCTCCCGCCTCACCCAGGCGGGGGCAGTCATTCGATGATTTTCCCCCCTTAAAAAAAAAAAACACTATTCAGTAACCCTGCTTTACTAATAGGAGCACTGCCCCCACTTCAAGACAATATTACCTACTCAACTTGAAAATTTATAGAGCACAAGTCACCAAAACGTTGCTTGTTCGTGAATTTTAAAGTTTTATGCTCGATTGGTAGTGTGGTATGTAAGCTTCTTTATTATATTAACTAATTCAAGTTTCTTTCTTAAAAACTGCTTAATCTTAAACAATTTAACTTATAAAATACTTTCGAGCGGACTTATCACAGTCCAATCTTAAGCGCATTTTCAGCTCAGTGATAGTTCAATTTGAGACTTAAAAACTTGTGCAATAAGAATGTAATCCACTTGGTATGTAGTTGAAATCATTAACACAATGATATCGATAAATTCGCAATCGCAATGGCATCTTTGAACTCTGACCTTTAGAGGACGCCGCGCCGACCGCAGCGCCGACGGACGTCTACGAAAGGCATTGCTACGGTCGTGTTACGCTACGTCTCATTCTACTACGTCATGCTACACTACACCACTATACTTTAATTTCCTCTCGTTGAAAAATGATAATTATTTAAAGTCTCGGTCATTTATATCGTGTAAACTTTACTTTAAAAGGTAGTCATTGAATTTAAGTGACAATAGACGATAGGCGTGTACATGTACACATATAATTAACGATTAACAGGTTTGTATACTCTTCGATAGTCAGAAACACAACTTATAGGTAGGTATTAACTAATTAAAAGACTAGAGTAATCTAGATCAACTTATTTTAGTGTCACAATATTATTTCATGATGTTCTTGTTACGGTTTTACTTTTCTTTATTTAATCGTTAACTTCTGCTGGTCCCATTAAAGGGAATATTATATTAAATTATAAATCGAAGTACTGTAAATGCAATACAAGATAATTATTTATTTCTGATGTTTGTCATATTGGCCGACTTAGATAATACGCTGTACAGCGATTTTGAAAACATAAACGTGTTCACTTTTGATTCTGAAGTACCTACGTCTGAAAACCCGTATAAATAGACTAAGCAATAATTTTCTTTCAGGAATTAATAACTACGTTATACATTGGATTCCTTGGGCTGATATTCGCCTCATTTTTGGTATACTTAGCTGAGAAAGACGTTGCAGACACAAAGTTCAAAAATTTTGCCGAGGCGTTGTGGTGGGGTGTGGTAAGTATTATATTATATATTAGTTTCATATAGTAGCGTACTAACACAACTGTTGATAGATTTTTCTAACAATAGATACTTAATTACATGCTTACATAGACAGAATGTAATGATAATAAAATAAATCACAGTTCCTAATTAAAGAGACATATCTTTGTTTAATAACTTACAGATTGGCTTATTTTATCTGAGTGATATTTGACTACAATTGTGAAAGAATGTACAATATGACCAAAAAAAACCATTTGCCGGCTTATCCTATATCGATAAGGTTTATTGCATAAAAAAGAAAAACATCTTATACCAGGCAGATTAATTCCTATATTTAATCGCATATGTTCTCAAGCTATTTTCTTTGTTGACATTGAGCCTAAATAATGTTTTGGTGTTTTTTATATGTAGGTATAGTTTGAAACATATAATGAAATAACAATAAAAAAACACATAGAAGCTATACGTTTGATATGCGACTAGCTGCCGAGCTGTGCAATACCCGATTGTGTGTTAAGATGTTATTGTAATCTCAGATCACGCTGTGCACGGTGGGGTACGGCGACATGGTGCCGCAGACGTGGCAGGGCAAGTTCATAGCCTCCTTCTGCGCACTGCTCGGGATCTCTTTCTTCGCGCTGCCCGCCGTGAGAACCACTTACACTACCTAATACCTACTCTTTCAATCACTGCTTATATTCCTTTACAAGTTTAGTATACAGCTAAAGCAATTTCCCGTATTGAATGACGTTTATAGATGGATGTTAATGTGTCACTAACATGGTTGGCAATTTCCTGTGTACCCACAATTTCATGGAATCGATATAGATATATGTTATAAACAGGGAATACTGGGCTCGGGTTTTGCGCTCAAAGTTCAACAACAACAGCGTCAGAAACATATGATTCGGCGACGTCAGCCAGCTGCAACACTTATCCAGGCGCTGTGGCGGTGCTATGCCGCTGACGAGCACTCCATGAGTGTGGCCACTTGGAAAATACACCAAGTACCTCTTCCCAGTCCGCAAGCCAGGTAGGTCATCGTCATCGTCAACAGCAAACCAATTGCGATTCTGAGAATTTTACCTATTTATAAAATAACCACACAATCTAACGACTTCTTCGACACAGGATATCTAACGAATAGTAATTACAGAGCAAAATAGAAAAAATATCTGTCCACATTATGAACATCAATTTAAAAAAAAATACTTTATGTCATCTGTAATGTTAAGAAATTTAACAATACAATTTCTAGAATAATTAAATACATAATGTATTGAAACACCCTGAAGTAAATTAGCATCTTTGTGGTAGTAGGGTTACAACTATTCCTCTTATCTATTGAAAAAAATAAAATGTAAGAAGCCCTCCCACTTACACGATAAAACGTGACGGAGGGCTTAACAGCGAGTAGTGACGAGTGTGTGTATATTTGACAGTCGAGTGATGAGTGCGTCGTTCAAGAACAATGCATCCTTTGTGTCGCGCCTGCCGACTATCCGCCGCCACAAGAGTACGTCCCTGCACTCTCCAGCGCCGCACTCCAAGCCCGCACACAGATACGATGTCAATGCCAGCGCAGAAAATCTTGGTAAGATTATTTGTATCATGTTTATTCCTATCACTACTTATGTAACATTGCCTTAACCTACATTATAAGTGACGAACTAATGTTTCCAAATTTAATTTAATGAAATGATATTTTCAATATATTATACATAGGTACATATAAACAAAACATGATCATAATCGCGGTAATTGAATCCACCAAATATTTTCAATTCATAAATAAACAACACGGCAACCCATAACTAGGCACCGCACGATCTCGCTCACTTCCATTGGTAAACACCACACAACAATGATGATGACCGACAAGATTCAAATAAAAAAATAACATTAACTTCAACTTCTAATCCAGAAAGTATTTGGACGCCATAAACAAGATTATAAAATTAACAACAAGAATTCAAATTGGCTGTTTAACCATGAGACCATAGAACAACACGAAGAAAATTAATGAAGAAGGAAATCGAACAAATAAAAGACTAATCGGGAAATACAAAACGAGCAGATCTCTAAACATACGACCAGCTGGGACTTAACCAATCGAATACATAATAATAATAAATGTTCGCCGTCACATTCATCATGTATACATACTACAAGCCATTAACATGGTGCACTCGAATCGCAACTTTTTTCAATTGCTAACACAACAAAAAGGACAAATATTCATCAACACTCTGTAGATTGACGAGCCGTTTTAATTAGCGCAGTGTTGTGCAGTGTGTGTGACATGTGAAGAGCTTAGTGGAATGGAGTGTGATGTCATTTATTGCCCTGTTCCGTAGATAATCATACGTCGGGAGGGGACCGTGCGTGTTGTCTACTACATTGTTGGAAAAGCTGCTTTAAAGGTTCTGTTATAAATATTTTAGACGGCACTATGGCATGACAATATTACAGTCGATAAACTTCCGCTGCGTTTCTTGTTGATTCTTATTAGTAAAAACTTTCCAGAAATATGTGAATACACGAAAAGCGAACATGTTGACGTAGCTTTCAGTCCGGACTAAATGTCAACCTTCCGGCGATAATGGCTACGTCTCTTAGCTCCAGACACGATTGCTGACATCCTACTTACCTTCTACTTCTTTCTATTATTTTTCACTTTTTTGGACTCAAAATGCACCCGCGTAGATTAAAATATCGCTTCGAAAACTTTACAGTACTTACTTGTACTTGTATCGCAGTCAGAAGCTTTATATTACTACATTTGACGGAGTGGCTTCTAAATAAAAATTGCTTCCGCGTATTTAACTGCTACTGTTAGAGAAATGGAAAATGGAAATGTTAAATTTCGTTAATTTATACCGACTGCAAGAGTTGCGTTCATTTAGCATCATAGATCGCGGTTCACACAATGAATTTCCAGATTATACAAGCGACCTCATGTTACTGGAATGGCTTCCTTAAGAGCTTGTAATTTTAAGTTCGGTTACATATATCTTAAATAAATAATAACTAAGTATTTACACTGCTTTGCATTTTTTATTATGCATGCCAGATAGTTCATAGGATTCCTGTAAAATATTTATAGGTATTTTATCATCACAATATTTTAAGGTGATGATCATATGAGGCTTTATAAATAGGTTACAAATGCAATACAAGATTTGAATCTTATATCATACATTTTTGATACGTAGGCTATAGACCCATCCGCCACAGTCGGCGTCCGCCTGTCTTCAACTGTCATCGTTTCAAACGTTTCTCCTGTTCTCACTTCAAGGCTGTAAACGAATCTAGGTTCATTAGGTATTTGATTGATTTCGACCAAAGATCTTAAATAAACAAGTTATAAATTTGTTAATCTGAGTTCTAATAATGTATAGATGGTATTATTATTTTAAGATAACTGACTAACTGAATACACCAAGTGGATATTTCAGTTTTACAATCAAAATAGATTTCGTTATCTTATTTGGTTCTTATTTCTTAACCAAACATATAACTTGCTTAGTGACTCAACACTTGGTGACTCTTCGGAAGTATTACATGTCAACTTAAAGTTAAAGTTTCGAGTATAAATTGTATCAATAAGTCACCTGAATTTAATACAAGTCGATATAGGTTGAGGTTTTCTTAACGTATTATGTTGAAAGCAAAACGTCATGGAACCACCAAGTTCAGACTTAGCGGAATCGAGATCTTTTTCAACATTTTTATGTATCTTTTTATCGCAGATTTAAAGTCTCGCGAATAAATTGAAACATCATTGTCAGATTTACTCTGCAATAGATAGCTATAATAAGAATTTCGAATGTTATTAAAATGAAGTGTTACTCTGAGACGATGTGTTCAGTGTTCTCATTCTCAAAACCGAATGGGTCATGAACAGCGTCAACAACTACATAAAAGAATTTGACGTCTTTATGTTACTTTCGAAGTTAATTCGTAATAAAAACTAAGATAATCATCCTCTAGTTGCCATTCTGTGATCACAAAAACATGTGAAACGCCTTTAGTGTGAGTAAACAACTTTTGTTGGCATGAAAACAGCCAGCCTCTGTATTTCTCCCCTTCACATTCTCGCACGTTTTGTTTGTTCAATTTATATCAAGAGTTTGTAAGACTTATTTATTTATCAAAGAAAAGACAATATTTCCATTATCCCACATTTACTGTACTCCACATTTTCAAAGAGCAAGAATTTCACAGTGCGAGCTTAAGTTCAAATCGTGCTCATAAAATTGGCTCCGTAATTACATAAATTGAAAAAAAAATTAAAGATTGACACGTAGGTATATAATTTAGGTGTCTCCGATAAGCTACATTCATAAAACGTTTGCACATTAGTCAGAAAGAGACGAAGAACGGATCAATAGTTTGCCCGAGACATTAAATGGCAACCGCTGCATTGACCTCATTATTTAGGTGTTTCTTTGATGCAGCCTTTACATTTTTTATTCAGTTAATTAAAAAAGGAAATTCTTCAATCTTGCAATTAAATCATTGAGTCTACGTACAAATATTCTGGGTTGTACATTATACAAACCAAGTCAGTGATACTGTACATATTTATCACGGTTTTGTTAAACCACTGGCGCTCAGGACTAATGATAACGTTCTCCTTCAAAGAATATAATATAAAAGGATTCTCCGTCCGAGACGTTTCCCGCAACCCTGTAATATAAAACAAAATTAAAGACGAATCCTACTTAGCATAAGCTATACGGTGCGGAAAATTCCATTTGAAGAATATTGTTTAAAACCATTTTGCATTAGTTGACATTTTACAAAGACGATAGGATAACTGAAAACAAAAGTTAAAACATTAATTATCATAATTAATTTTACTGAGAAAGCAATTCATTTCATAATCAACCTGTGTGCTACGTGGACTCGTTCTCAGAAGTAGGTCTCTACGATGATAGACTTAAGTTTTACTTCAATAGCGTAAAGTAGTTTGAATAATGATCAAATAAAAGTGTAGCCATTCTTTATCGTCTATATCGTCTCTACAACCAAATAAACATCACAAAACTTGCGGCTGACAGGCAGACAGGCATTAGATGGTTTGATGTTCATAGCAGGGAAACGCCCAATGTTGGAATGTGCATAGATCGCTGTAATTACAATCAATCACTTGGTGACTACATAAATATACGAGAATATGTACGGGGAAGTATCGGTACAGGGTAGGGTCGTGCAGGTCAGCTAGCCAAGGTAGTTTAGCTGGTGTGGGTGCAGTGTTGAAGTGAGCGTGTGTGTGGGTCGGCAGGCGCGACTGCGGCTCGGCCGGCGCGCGCGCCGCCTGTCCAACCGGCACACAGCGAGGACTCGGTCGCAGAGACACCGCTCTCCAAGAAAAACTCTGATGGTAAGAAGTGGACAAGCAACAAATAGCTGTATTTCGTATTAGACAAGACTGATTGTCTGTTGACATGCTCTTCCTGTTGCTTTCGAGTAGATTAACATTTCTTCACTAGGTGTATGTATGTATGTACATACGTAGTGTATGTGGTTTGGTGAAATTGTGTACATTTTATAACTTCACTCTGTATTTTTCGACACCTAGACTGTTGAGTAATGTATTATCACTAAAGTTTCCACTTAGATTCGATAAATTATAATCCGTATAAAATATTTACTAACTAAATACGTCATGTATATTGTATGTATAGCTATTGACACGCGCTTTATTATATTAGACATCGTTGGTTGCTATTGGAAACTACCTATGTGTTGGTAAGGTATGGATAGTATTGTAAATTCTCTATCGGATGCACATGTTCCAGTTAGATTGTGTACGTTCGAGTGTACAATATCTACACAACAATGTTCATAAATGTACTTAGTCGTGTAGTGCTGTAGCTCTATGCATTCTAAGCAACATTTTATATGACTTTAATGTAAGAACATACATTTCCTATAAAATGTTGTTGCAATACCACATAGTTTTAATGTAGGTATATGTGAGTAGGCCTCATATAACTTGTTTGCATTACGCATTCTATAATATATATGTATAATGCAAATAGCATGGATCAGTGATCTCCTTAGGCACAATAACGCATGCTACTATATGGAAATGCAATGTGTGGACTGTGAACGTGAATATTCGAAACCTATCTGTGCTAATCACATGAGTCTTAACTTTCCTCCTTACTATAAATAATCATTTGTGCACGCGGCGAAACCTCCAGTCGTTGATTACATTAACCCATTTATGTTATACTTGAAATAGCTAAACAAATAAAATATCCTGTTATCTGTGTTACATTAATCTTTACGGCCTTCGTGCCTACGCTATATACTAGCTAGCACATAAACCTCGAAGATTTGGTACTATGAGAGAAAGGCGGAAACAATTCCTCTCACAATTCTTTGTGTAAGTACGATCATCGTATCAACAAACTAAATCTAATTTATGAATGAGGCGAACATTAGCAATAATATACATATATAGTAATCACTATCTCAGCTTACTTGTGTAAATAAATAACTTCTTGATGATAACAAAGGAAATTTTTTTAAAGAAATAAATGCTGAGGAATGCTGATAATGAACAATAATACGACCTCA